GCAGCCATTTTGTGTTTGTGAAGGGAGTGCTTCTAGGAGCATTAGACAATATGGAGTGCCTCCTCCTTCATCTGCTGCATTGATATTGAGAAGGACTCAAAGGGGATTTGAATCCCGCTCTCTCAAATATGGTTCTCTCATCTTTGGAAAGCAACACCTTCTTTGTCTTCAGAGAGGAGTGTCCTGGGGCGTGGCCTGTGCAGAAGCGGCCATTTTCTTCCTTCCTCAGGGACTTCATTCGAGGTGCTTGTCCTCCTAAAAAGGACAACAATCCCTCCATTGTTGCCAGGGAAGAAAGGCAACTATGAGGAGAAAGCACTAAAAGATGGCAGAAAAGGAAAAAGGAGCCAGCGCCTGAGGGAAGGCCATGTGTGACAAAGAGTGCTTGAAGGGGCCTCTGTCACTGAGAGCAAAATGGCAGCCCCAGCCAAGCGCCATCTTGGCAGGCCTCCTTGTCACGGGCCACCCTTGGGCTGAGAGAGTGTGGCCTGCCCAAGGTCGCCCAATGGCATTTATGGCCGAGCAGGAATTCAAATGTTGGTCCTCGTCCAGGACTCCAAAATGGCCGCCCCACTGCCTTGCTATTTGGAATGGAAAGAATGGCTTCACGTATGGCCCAGCCCAGGCCTTCGGGTGATGCTGCACATCCCAAAGCCAGGCAGAGAAATAGGAAGGAAGGAAGAAAGGAAGGAAGGAAGGAAGGAAGGAAGGAAGGAAGGAAGGAAGGAAGAGAAGGAAGGAAGGAGGAAGGAAGGAAGGGAGAGAGAAAGAGAGAAGGAAAGGAAGGAAGAGAGTGAAAAGAAGGGGGAGAGGAGGAGGGAAGGAAAGGAAGGGAGGGTGGGTGAGAGAAAGAAGGAGGAGGAGAGAAAATGGGAGAAGGAAAAGGGAGAAGGGAGAAAGGAAAGGAAGGGAGAGTGGGAAAAAGGAGAGAAGAAAAGGTAGAAAAAGGAGAGAAGAGAGTAAGAAGGAAAGGAAGGAAGAGTGAAAGGAAAGGAGAAAGGAGGGAAGGAAGGAGGGAGAGAGAAAGAAGAGAGGGGGGGAAGGAAAGAGGGTGAGAGGAAGAAGAAGGAAGAGAGAAAACGGGAGAAGGAAAAGGGAGAGAGAAAGAGAAGAAAGGAAAGGAAGGAAGAGGGGAAAAGGAGAGAAGGAAGAAGGAAAGAGAGAAGAAAAGGAGGAAAGTTGGGAAGAGAGTAAGAAGGAGAGAAAGGAAGAGGACAGAAGGAAAGGAAGGAAAGAGGAGAGAGAAGAAGAGAGAATGAAAGGAAGAGAGTGAAAGCAAGGGAGAAAGGAAGGAAAGGAAAGGAAGGGAGGGTGAGAGAAAGAAGGAAGAGAGAAAAGGGGAGAAGGAAAAGGGAGAAAGGGAGAAGGAAAGGAAGGGAAAAAAAAGAGAGAAGAAGAAAAAAAAAAGAAAGGAGGGAAGAGAGTAAGAAGGAGAGAAAGGAAGGAAGAGTGAAAGGAAAGGAGAAAAGGAAGGAAGGGGGAGAGTAAAAGGAGAAGACAAAAGAGGAAATGGAAGGAAAAGGTAGAGAGAAGAAAGAAAAGGAAGGCAGGGAAAAGAGAGAAGGAAAGAAAGAGAGGGGAGGGTGAAAGAAAGGAGAAAGGAGGGAAGGAAGGAGGGAGGGAGAGAGGAAGAAAGTAGAGAATGAAAGGAAGGGAGTGAAAGGAAGGGAGAAAGGGGGGAAGGGAAGGAAGGGAGGGTGAGAGGAAGAAGGAAGAGAGAAAAGGGGAGAAGAAAAAGGAGAGAGAAAGGAGAGAAGAAGGAAAGAAGGAGGGAAAAAGGAGAGGAAAGGAAGAAAAGGAGGAAGAGAGAAGAAGGAAGGAAGGAAGAGGAAAGGAAGGAGAAAGGAGGGAAGGAAGGAGGGAGGAGAGAAAGAGAGAGGAAGAAAAGAGAATGAAAGGAAGAGAGTGAAAGCAAGGGAGAAAGGAGAGGGGAAGGAAAGGAAGGGAGGGTGAGTGGAAGAAGTAGGAAGAGAGAAAAGGGGAGAAAGAAAAGGGAGAGAGAAAAGAGAGAAGAAAGGGAGGGGGAAAGGAGAGGAGAGAAGAAAGAAAAAGAGGGAAGAAAGAGAGTAAGAAGGAGAGAAAGAAGGAAGAGTAAGAAAGAGAGAAGGGGGAGAAAGGAAGGAGGGAGGGAGAGAGAAAATAGAGGAAGAAATAGAGAAGGAAAGGAAGACAATGAAAGGAAGGGAGAAAGGGGGGGAGGAAAGGAAGGGGGGGAGGGTGAGAGAAAGAAGGAAGAGAGAAAAGGGGAGAAGGAAAAGGGAGAAAGGAGAGAAGAAAGGGAGGGAGGGAAAAAGGAGAGAAGGCAGGAAGGAGGGAAGAAAAGGAAGGAAGGAAGGAAGGAAGGAAGGAAGGAAGGAAGGAAGGAAGGAAGGAAGGAAGGAAGGAAGAAGGAAGGAAGGAAGGAAGGAAGGAAGAGAGAAGAAGAGAAAGGAAGGGAAAGGAAAGAGGAGAACGGAGGAAAGGAAAAGGGAGAAAGAGAGGAAAGGGAAGGAGGAGGGAAAAAGAGAAGGAAGAAAGAGAAGAAAAGGGAGGGAAAGAAAAGGAGAAAAGGAGGAAGAGAGAAGGGAAGAGAGTGAAGGAAGGAAAGGAAGAAGAGAAGGGAAAAGGAAGGAGAGAAGGAAAGAAGAAAAAAGGAGAGAAAGGAGAGAAGAAAGGAAGAGGTAAAAAGGGAGAGAAGCAAGAGAGTAAGGAGAGAAAGGAAGGAAGGGTGAAAGAACGGAAGGGAGAAAGAAGGACCGAAGGAAAGCAAGGAAGGAAGGGAGATAAGGAGGAAAGAAAAGCAGAAAGAAGGAAAAGGGAGAAAGAAGAGAAGGAAGAAAATGAGAGGGAAAAAGGAGAGAAGAAAATGAATAATAGAATCAAAGAGTTGGAAGAGACCTCCTGGGCCATCCAGTCCAACCCCATTCTGCCAAGAAGCAGGAATATTGCATTCAAATCACCCCTGACAGATGGCCATCCAGCCTCTGTTTAAAAGCATCCAAAGAAGGAGCCTCCACCACACTCCGGGGCAGAGAGTTCCACTGCTGAACGGCTCTCACAGTCAGGAAGTTCTTCCTCATGTTCAGGTGGAATCTCCTTTCTTGTAGTTTGAAGCCATTGCTCCATCACATCCTCCAGGGAAGCAGAAAGGAAGCCTGCTCCTTCCTCCCTGTGGCTTCCTCTCACATATTTACACATGGCTATCATGTCTCCAATGGAGCTCTTCCCAGAGACTCTGATTGCTGTCCAGAGGGATTAGACCAAGTGTGGTCCAACTTTGGCCCTCCAGGTGTTGAGGTCCAGAACACCGGGAGGGCCAAAGTTGGACCATGCTTGGTCTAAGCCTGTTTCTCAACCTGGGGTCCTCAGATGTTTTTGGCCTTCAACTCCCAGAAATCCTAACAGCTGGTAAACTGGCTGGGATTTCTGGGAGTTGTAGGCCAAAAACATCTGGGGACCCCAGGTTGAGAAACACTGGTCTAAACCCTCTGGACAGCAATCAGTCTCTAGAATCATAGAATCAAAGAGTTGGAAGAGACCTCATGGGCCATCCAGTCCAACCACATTCTGCCAAGAAGCAGGAATATTGCATTCAAATCACCCCTGACAGATGGCCATCCAGCCTCTGTTTAAAAGCTTCCAAAGAAGGAGCCTCCACCACACTCCGGGGCAGAGAGTTCCACTGCTGAACGGCTCTCACAGTCAGGAAGTTCCTCCTTATGTTCAGATGGAAGTTCTTCCTTATGTTCTAGGAAGAGCTCCATTTGAGACTGGCTGTCAGGAATTGTGGGAGTTGAAGTCCAAAACACCTGGAGGGAGGAAAGTCCCAAGTTGGCCCAGGGCCCCTCCCTGAGTAAGGTGGGCTGTTGTATTCAGGGCTGGCTGCAATGTTCCCGGAGTGCGACTGCTATTGTCCCTTTGGGCTGTGCCACACGAAGGGCTGGCTGCGCCCGTTTCCATGCCAGGTGAGTCTCTTCCAGAAGGTCCTGAACAAACCACACAAAGCCATTTCATCAAATCTCCTTTACTGCCCCTCTGTGGAAGAGGCTGTGCTTCCATACTGCAGGTTTTTTACAAACACTTCATGGTATTTACAAGTCACGGATTATTAGTGTTTTGCCTCCCAAAAAAATAACAGAGATGAGCCTGGAGAGTTTTCGTGTGCAAAAACAGTTCTGCCGGCCTCTGCTGCGCTGAGCAGGAACCTGCAGAAAAGCCAGCTGAGTTTCAGGGTGCCCGTGAGAAAAGGGGAACAACCGACCGACCGACTACGCTGGTTCGCACAGAATATGGATACAGCTTGCTCGAGTTAATACATCATGCAAAAGGAAAAAAGAAGAACAACTGGATAATGAGAAAGAAATACAACAACAAAGGCTGAGGAATGGGATGGCTTGATGAATGTGGCGTGAATAAGAAAAAAAACGGGCTGAAAGAGGGCTGCCTTAAAGTGCCAGGGACAAATCCAGAGTCGAGAATGGGGTGCTGGGGAAGTGGGGGGCGTCTCCTTGGCTTCGTTGGGCTGGGGTGGAGGAGAAAGGGGGATACTGGTGCTCAGCGCGCAAGGTGCCTTGTGGGAAGGTGGCCAGTGCTGCTCAGAAGTCAGTCCTCACGCAGCACAGCTCCACATCAGGGCTTCCCCTGCGCATAAGGACTGCCTTCGTGTCTTTTATTGCTTCGGAAGGAGAGCCAGGCCCACAGAAAGACACCTGAGACAGACGGACAGTCAAGGAAGAGTGGGCTGGAGTTTAGTGGTGGTGTGTGCCGGATGGAATGGAGGGGCCCGGTGAGCCTCCTGGGAGCAGCGCACGACCAGCAGCGCATGTGGCGGCAGTGGCGTCTTATGAATCAGCTGCCCTTGTTCCTAGGCCGAGGGTAGCACGCTGCACTCTTCCAGGCCAGTCTTTCCTGCGGCCGAACTGCTCCCAGGACTTAGCCTCCGGCGGCCTAGAAGCCAAAGAGCTCCCAGCCTAAAGTCTGTGCCAGGCAGAGAGCAACTCCAGCTTCTCCCCGGCCACCACGAAGGTCTCTCTCGGGTGCGGCTGCCCCCCTCCCTGCCCCGTTCCAGCATCATTGGCCCCACGGCCCCTATTAACTGCTCCAAGGTGGCTGCAAAGTGGCTGTTCTCCCCTTCCCCAGGTAAGCGGGAGGAGGGTGCGAGGTCTGCGGCCACTAGGAAGGAAGTTGAAATGGACATCCAGCAACACTAAAATAAAGTGAAGAAAAGAAACAAGATGGGATGAGACAGGAGCATTCCACAGGTGAAATGATGCCAGCAAATCAAGCCAATGAAGCCACACAGCACCTGGCTCTGGAGCCCACCTGCCTCCCTCCCACCACTGGCTGGTGGGGAGCAGGGGAGGGACAGCAATGCCAGTCCCACACATTGTGAAGGAGCCCCAGGTAAATAATACAAGCTGCAAGTAAACATTCGGATCGCCTGCTTGAGGAAGCCAGGGCACCCAATCTGTGCACCGGAGGAGCATCACACAGCATTCCCTCCCCCCTTCCAGCCTATCTCCTTCCCACCTCCAGCTCCCCCCTTGCAATACTAAACTGTATGTCCAGCAACACTATCAGCAGAGCCCCAGAGCTGCAAATGCCACAAGCCCCCCTTCCCTGCCCCTCCCAAGAGCCCTGTTACCTTTGTGGGTGGGTGCAGCAGGGGAGCTGTGGTATCCGGCCCTCCGCTCGAACTGATCCAAGACTTGCTGACTTCAGAAAACCAGTTAAGCAGCTCTCCCAGTGACAAGGGGGCTTCTTGGATGGGACTAAGTAAAAGTGTCTGAGGGAAAGAGCAGATGTTGTTATGAAGGGACACGACCCGGGGAGAAGAGAAGGCACAAGAGAGAGAAGTTCAGCTCAGCTTTAGATAGCAGTTAGTTCCAGAAGACGGCTTGATTCAATCTGCAGTTTTCCCTAGACAGAAAAGAGGGTTGTTTTTTTGGGAAGGGGGTCTGAAGAGGCACCCCATGGAAACCAGACGGGATCCATGAGGATTTAGGGGTCCGGGGATTCAGGGAGGCTGTGCTCAGTGACTTGCCAGCCCACCCTGCTAGCTTTGTGTGGGCACTTCCCAGATACACATGAAGTGGACGGGCCAAAAGACCAACGGAAACGACATGCAGAGATCCCTGCCACCCCACAGCAGCCATAGCAGTGCAAAGCTTCCCCAAAAGCAGAGCAACACGGAGAAAGGAGAAGGCGAGAGGACGTTTGCAGTCTACAGGTGAGGTGTGCGGGGAGAGAAAGAGCAGCAAAAGTGACAGTGAAGCAGGTAGGCAGGCAGGCAGGCAGGTAGGTGGCACAGCCAGGCCGAAGGCTCCGCATCAGCACAGAGAAGATGCAGCACTTACGGTCTGAGCGCAGAGTCCACGCAGTTGAGGGGAGGCCGGCCAAGGAGCAGCAGTGAGGCATGGAATTGTTCTCCTGGTCATCCTGCCAGGGTGGGGGGGCAGCGAAGAGGAGCAGTCTGGGTAATGGCGCAGGAGGCGTGCTGGATCGGATGGGGGCCATGGGCATCTCTGGGGCACAGGTCAACCGGGGCTCTTCCTTCCTTCCTTCTTTCGTTCCTTCTTCCTCGGAAGAGGCGAGGGTGTTTTGCATAGGCAGTGGTGCGCCTGAAGCTTGGCACAAGGGTTCCCTCCTTCTTTGGAGGATGGAGCTGGCAGAGCTCATTGGGAGAAAAAGTCACTCGCTGCTTAGGAGGAGAAAGGACTCAAAGAGGGCAGGCTTGGCCTGAGCGGGTGCGTCAGCACATCCCTGGGGTTATTCTACTCTGCAGATGACAACTATAAAAAAAAGCCAACAAAAACCGGGCTTCCAAGAAGGCGAAATGGGGTAGGGTGCAGCAGGGGATAGACTTACTCTTTTTCTGTCTCTCTTCATATACAAATACTGTCTGAACAATCATATATATTAATATATTAGTCTAGTCTTTTTGGTTAAACTTTAGGCACTGCTTTGGAAGGAAACTGTGTTTGAAAACAGGATAAAATAACAATAGTAATAATGAGAAGATTAGCCAGCAGCTTTACCACATGCAGAGCAGGATAAATGCAAAGGTGAGCTCCGTTTCTGGAGGCGGGGGCCCTTTAGGCCACAGGCAGCTGCTTCCCATGCATTTGGAGAAGCGCCTGGCTTCCTTCCCACCCACAGGTCCCAACCAGGTGGGTCAAGGTGCGACTCAGGTCAGCAGCATCCGTGTTGCCGCCACTGCTGCTCAGGCTAGATGTGTATCGGCGGCCGTAACTTGAGGAACTGTAGGAAGAGGAAGCGAAGGACATGGAGAAACCGGACCCTCCTGTAGCATCGAAGCTGCCTCGCCTGGAGCCTGATCTAGAACCGGTTCGAGAGCCAGATCGGGAGCCGGACGCAGAGCCCGAGCCGCTAACATTGTAAGGGCTGTAATAGCCTTTGCTGGACTGTGATGAAGCTTCCAAAAGACGCAAACCTGACCCCTCCTCAATCATGCTTTTCTCCATGGCGTCCTTGTAGGAAATCTTGAGCTTGGTTTTGGGGCAGGTCAAGTATTTGGAGTAGGTGTTGACATCCCGCAGTTTCTGTGCCGTGCGTGCATCAATGGTGCCCTTCTGCAGAGCCTCATCTAGAGAGACCCTGCCAGTCGCTTCCGGCTCGATCAGCCCTCCTGTCAAGTACTGGACCTCCAGGAAGCGCTGGCCAGCTTCGTAGTACAGCCAGCCCTTCTTCAAGGCCTGGGCAGCAGACATCTTGGTCTTTGTTCTTGGATCCTCAAAGCCATAGAAAGCCTTCTGAGCAAGGTTGATCCTGTCTACCATGATTTTATCAACCAGGTTCTTGTTGACGGCATCAGCGACGGCAAACTTCTGCCCAGTGCTGGGGTCAATGATGCCACCTGTGCAGGCTTGAGCCTCCAGGAGCCTCTGGCCAGTAATGTTGTCCACGAGGTTGCGACGCATGGCCTCAGTAATGGAGACCTTCTCTAGGGTGTCTGTATCTAGGATGCCTGCAATGGGACCAGTTTCTTCAGTGGGATCGCTCCATGAAGTCAGTTGTGCTCTTACATGGGCTGGGCTTACAGGATAGGAGGAGGAGGATCCAACAGAGGAAGATCTGGATCGGAAGCCACTTACGTTGCCAGAAAGCATGTCGGCAAACTCTGTAATGGATAAGGAACCTGAGCGGTACTGGTCCAAGGCAGACTGGTCTATCAGCCCCTTTGAGATTGCGTCGTCAATATCATACTGCCGCCCTGACCGCCGGTCAATGATCATGGACTTGACAACCCCATCAGAGGAGGAAATGGTGATCTCTTCCCACTCACACTCTTGTTCGGAGAGCTCCAAATAGGTCTGGTGGTCGATAAGGCCTTTGCGGTAGGCTTCATACACTGACATCTCCTTCCCAGTCTCAGGGTCAACAATCACCACTCTGCGTTTGCGGACAGAGGACTTGGAAGAGGTCTTCCTCTCCCGCTTCTTCTCCTTCAAGGGCAGGAGGCACATCCCAGTCTCCGGATCAGTGATGCACCGCTCCATCAGCTGCAGGTAGGTTAGGTTCTCCTCTGTGTTTGGGTCAAAGAACCCCTTTGTGTCGTCACTGGGATCCAGGAGGATCTCATTCATTTCCTCATCAAAAAGGCCTCTCTTGTACGCCACTTCGACAGGCAGGCGATGGCTTTCTTCCGGATCAATAATTCCTCCTGTGGCAATCTGAGCTTCCAGCAGACGGATCCCATGATCTTTCAGGATCAGTCCTTTTTTCATGGCTTGGAAGAGAGAGATCAGCTTGCCTGAGTAGGGGTCTTTGTAGCCAGTCACAGCCCTCTCAGCAGAAAGCAGCTTGTCCTTGAACTCTGGGCCTACGATGCCCATCCGCACCGCCTCCTCCACAGTCAACTTGAGGCCCTTGATGGGATCAATGACATAACCAGTGGCTGCCTGGGCCTCCAGCAGTTCAAAGGCTGTGCCAGGGCGGATGATGCCTTTCTTCATGGCCTGGTACACAGAGAGTCTCTCCTTGGAGGAGTCCATATAGACACCAGCAATGCAGCTGGTACCTTCCAGGAAATTCTTTAGGACTTTAGAGACTTCCTCAACAGAGGTTAAGCCTTCCTGCAGGCGCTGGGCAGTGGCTTCATCCATGACCTTAGATCGGACCAGCTCCTCAACACTGATCTGCTTTCGCAGACCACGGAAGCTCAGCTGCCGAGTGTCAGAGATGTGCAGCAGGAGGCAGCCGGTGTTCTCATCCTTCTTGCAGCGCTTTAGGAGTTGTGCATAGCTAAGCTTCTCATCTGTGGAGGGGTCTATATAGCTGCGTATCTCACTGGGCTCAGACAGCCTCTCGTAGGTCTCCCGATTGAAGTAGCCACGCTGGTAAGCTGTTTCCAGGGGCAAGTGGAAGCCCAAGTGTGGGTCTATGATACCTCCGGTGGCCAGTTGAGCGTCGAGCAGTCTGAGAGCTTCCTCAGATGGAATGAGGTCCTTCTTCATAGCTTGGAAAAGAGAGATTTTCTGCTCACTGTAAGGGTCACGGTAGCCAGTCACAGCTCTCTCAGCAGACAGGAGCCGGTCATGTATCTCAGGGCCCACCACCGCTTTCCTGACAGCCTCGTCCACTGTGAGCATCTCATTCTTGATGGGGTCAACAATGAAGCCGGTGGCAGCCTGGGCTTCCAGCAGGGGTCGAGCCACTTCTGGAGTGATCATCCCTCTTTTTAAGGCCTGGTAGATACTGAGCTTCTGTTTGCTGGATGGGATGTAGATACCAGCAACACAGCCAGCACCATAGAGATACTTCCAGACTGTCTCTATTTCTAGGATCTCACGGATGGTCTTGGAGCCCTGCTTCAAGGCATTGTATATCTCCACAGAGATGATTCTGGCTTCATACAGATCCTCGGCCGTGATGCGGCGTCGGACAAAGTCATAGGAGGTCAGGTCTTGCTGCCGGATGATCTCTGTCTTCTCTATGATCTCAATGATGATGATGATCATGCGCTCCTTTGTCACCTTGCCAGAGCGAAACTCGTCCATCAGCTTCTTGCGCTGCTCCTCGGGGATAAGGCCAGAATGCATGATTTCCCACAGAGACATGGAGGAACCAGCACTGTCTCCACTTGGAATGTCAATCTGGGTCTCCTCAAACACCTTCTTGGTCTCAGCCTCAGTGTACACCTGAGTGGTCTCCACCACGGTGGGTGTCTCAGGTTTCCTCAATGGTAAGAGGTAGAGGCCAGTTTCAGGGTCCTCTATACATCTCTCCTTCAGCTGCAGGTAGGTGAGATTCTCCTTCGTGTTAGGGTCGAAGAAGCCCTTGCTGTCATCAGTGGGGTCTAAGAGTGTTCGGTTCATCTCCTCATTGAAGTAGCCTCGCTTATAAGCCACTTCCACAGGGAGGCGGTGGCTGTGCACAGGGTCAACGATGCCTCCTGTAGCAATCTGGGCTTCCAGAAGGCGTATCGCATGGTCCTTAAGAATCAGTCCCTTCTTCATGGCCTCAAAGAGGGAGATGGTGTTCCCAGAATATGGGTCTTTGTAGCCTGTGATGGCCTTCTCAGCAGACAGCAGTTTTTCATGCAGCTCTGGTCCCACAATACCAGCCTTGACAGCCTCATGGACAGAGAATTTCTGGTTCCTTACTGGATCCACCAAGAACCCGGTGGCAGCCTGGGCCTCCAAGAGGACAGTGGCTGTGCTGGGCAGGAGCAGGGCCCTCCTCATGGCCTCATAGATGTTCAGCTTCTCCTTGGTTTCCTCTACATACACCCCTGCAATGCAGTCACTCCCCTGAAGATACCTCTTCACAGCGGCCACTTCAGCAAGGTCTTTCACGGACTTCTTTCCTTCCTTGAGTTGCTCATACTGTTTCTTGCTAATGACTTTTGATTCGAACAGCTCACTGGCGGGTACAGGGCCACGCAAGCCACTGAAGGTCAGCTTCTCTTGCTTCTTGGTCTCAGTCTCTTCAATTATTGTGATGATGATCTTGATGATCCTTTCAATGGTGACCTTCCCAGTTTTGTACTGCCGTATCAGCTCTCTCCTCTGTTCTTCAGTCAAATATTCTGAATGAATCAACTCCCAGATGGTCACTGTCTTGCCTTTCAGGCTGCCGGCTGGCACTTCCAGTGTCGCCTTATCAAAGGACTGCTTGGCTTGGCTGTCCGAGTAGACCTCTTCCTGCTGAAGCCGGACGGCCTGGTCTGAGAGGGGAAGCAAGCAAAGGCCGGTCTTCTTGTCCACTTGGCATTTCTTCTGCAGTTGGGCATAGGTGAGATTTTCTTGGGAATTGGGGTCGTAATACAGCTTGGTCTCATCAGCTGGAACGGACAAAGCCTTGTTCATCTCTTCACTGAAGTAGCCCCGTTTGCAGGCTACATCAAGGGGAAGACGGTGGCTGTTCACCGGGTCTACGATGCCCCCAGTGGCAAGCTGAGCATCCAGCAGACGGATCCCGGTGTCCTTGGGGATGAGGCCTTTCTTCTGAGCTTGGAAGAGGGAGACCACCTGTCCCGTGTAGGGATCCCTGTAGCCTGTCACAGCCTTCTCTGCAGACAACAGCTTCTCGTGCAGCTCGGGGCCAACAATCCCTGATCTGACTGCATCATCCACAGGGAGCTGCTCATTCCTCACTGGGTCAATGATGTATCCAGTTGCAGCCTGGGCCTCCAGAAGCATCAGGGCTATTTCTGGCTTCAGGAGGTTTTTCTTCAAGGCATCATTGAGCAACAACTTCTGGCCACTCGACTCAACCAAGATGCCTGCAATGGCACCGGTGCCTTTTAGGTACCTCTTGATGGGATCCATGCTGGCAAGTTCCTCGACAGTCTTTTTCCCCTGGTGCAGCTGGTTGTAAAGATCCTTGTCAATGACTTTGCTTTCTAGCAGCTCAGAAGCTGGAACGGGAGCCCGGATCCCTTCGAAGCACAGCTGGCTCTTCTTCTCGCTCTCCTCCATCACAGTGATGATGACTTTGATGATCTTCTCCACAGTGATCTTCCCAGTCCTGTACTGGCGCAGGAGGTCCCGCCTCTGCTCCACGGTGAAATACTCAGAGTTGATGATTTCCCAGATGGTCACTGTTTTCCCCTGAAACCTGCCAAAGGGGGCTGACACTGTGGCTTTCTTGAAGACATCCTTGGCCTCCTGGTCCGTGTAGACCAGCTCCCTTCCTTTAGCAGCTTTATCTGTCAGTGGCAAGAGGAAGAGGCCAGTCTCGGGGTCGGCCACGCATCTCTCCATCAGCTGCAGGTATGTCAGGTTCTCCTGGGTGTTGGGGTCAAAGAAGCCCTTGGTGTCATCGCTGGGATCTGAGAGGACCTTCTGCATTGCTTTGTCGAAGTAGCCACGTTTGAAGGCCACTTCCACAGGAAGGCGATGGCTGTTGATGGGATCAATGATGCCGCCTGTTGCAATCTGAGCTTCCAGAAGCCGAATGCCGTGGTCTTTCACAATGAGGTCTTTGGTCATTGCTTGGAAGAGGGATATCTTTTCCCCTGTGTAGGGGTCTTTATACCCAGTTACGGCCCTCTCAGCAGAGAGCAGCTTGTTATGCAGTTCGGGCCCAATCACTCCTTCTTTCACTGCTTCGCTGACAGACATGGTTTTGTTCCTCACTGGGTCTATTACGTAGCCAGAGGCAGCTTGGGCCTCCAGCAGAATGAGAGCTGTGCCGGGGCTCAGCACCTGCTGCTTCATGGCCGTGTAGATGCTCATCTTCTCGTTGCTCGGCTTCAGCAGGAGGCCGGCGATGCAGCTCGTTCCTCGCAAGTACCGTCGGATGTCTTCCCTCTGGGAGAGTTCCTCCACTGTGGCCTTTCCTTTGGCCAGTTTATCGATGTTCTCTCGGCTCAGGATGCCAGCCTCGGCCAACTTCTTGGCAGATACCTTGTGACGGAGGCCCTCAAACGCCAGCTCCGCCTCACCATTTTGAGAGATGCCATCTATCATGTCTTGGCCATTAGGCACTGCTTTCAGCTGAGGCACCTGAGAAGGAGTGGCCACCTCCTGGGGAAGGTCGTCGGTCTGGATCATGATTTCCCGGGTCTGGGAGAGGGCTGCCCGCTGCTCCTCTTGAAGCCGTTCCAGTCTCTCCCGGAGCTTCTGGTTCTCCTCCGCCAGGAGCTTCTCCTGCTTCTGCCGCAGCTTCTCCAACTGCTGCAGCTCCTCCTGCTTCCGCCGGACGTTTTCCTCCGCTTCTGCCTGCTTCTTGCGGGCTTCCTCAAGGACAGCCGCCAGCTTCTGCTTCTCTTGCTCCATCTGCTTCTGCTGGTGCTCCTGTTCGGCCGTCAGGTCTCGGGCCTTTTTGACTTCCTCTTGGAAAAGTTTTTCCAGCTTGGCCTTCTCTTCCTCCACAAATCTCTCTTTCTGAAGGAGGATGTCCTTTTCTGACAGGAATGTCTGCTGGAGCATCTGCGTCTCCTGGCGGAGCTGCTCCTTCTGAACCTTCTGCATCTGGATTGGGAGAACAAGAAGAACATCATTCATACTGTCCAACCTGGGGGGGGGGGGGGGAGGTTCTGATGAAGAAGATGAGGAGTGAGCCAGTATTTAAGGAAAGGTGTGTGTTAAGGGGGTTTCCCCGAAAGCTTCACCCCTAGGCCCCTTCCTCCATTCAGCTCAGACTACATCTGCCTGGAGCCCACACGATGTCCCTACATGACTTAGAAGAAGCAGACTGGAGCCCCTGAACACCTGAGCCACAATCAACATGTCTGTCTGGGAAGTGTTACAAGCCCCTTTGCTTGTCAAGGTTTCCCAGAGGAATAACATCTCTGCCTGATGTGTTAGGAGCTGGTTGTTGTGTGGACAATCCCCTCCGCACCAACCCTACTTGGAACACCTTTTACCACCTCTCCACCCCGCCCCCTGCCCCCTGGCTGCAATGCTCCCCACCTTCCTCATCTCAACCATGAAAGGCCTGATCTCTGACCCAAATGATGCACACAACAGAGAGTAGGTGCTTCCTTCCTTCTTTCTGCAGTGGTAGTCTCTTCTTTATCTACAAGAGAGGAGAGTCCATCTGAACACGAGGAAGAACTTCCTGACTGTGAGAGCCGTTCAGCAGTGGAACTCTCTGCCCCGGAGTGTGGTGGAGGCTCCTTCTTTGGAAGCTTTTAAACAGAGGCTGGATGGCCATCTGTCAGGGTGATTTGAATGCAATATTTCTGCTTCTTGGCAGAATGGGGTTGGACTGGATGGCCCAGGAGGTCTCTTCCAACTCTGTGATTCTATGATTCTATCCTTAGACGACTCTAGCCACCCTATTACCACAGTGTTCTGTTGCATGAACGCACATCCCGTCTCCTTTCTGTCAGCTTTCTTCATAAGAAAGTGTATCTAAACAACTACTGTGTTACTGGGCCGTTACTCACGCTCATGGTCTGAATCCTGTGGGGCCTGAAAGTCAAGCTGGAGTTGAATGTGGATGCCTGAGAATATCATCATACAGTTCCTGCTAAAGTGAGGGAGTGCTTCCAAGCTCAGTTTCTTTAAGACCTTTCTCCCCTTGAAAAGGAAACCTGAGCGCAAAGGGAAGTTTGAAGGATGTCCTGCTACCCAGAGCACACTGAGCTCTCAGGACCCCCTTCCTCCTTCAGCTGCATGTTCTGGGGCTACTCCTCCTGCCCACCCCACCTGCTCCACACTCTGGCAACTTTAGTGCTCACAGTTCTGGAGAAGTTCACATTCAGGGCCAGTAGGTCTGGTCGTGAGATGTATGACGAGCTCCACCTCTGTAGGAGCACATACATGGGCGGGTTTCACCATGCTGTTTCGGAACTGTTTCAGGTGCGGACACATCTAAGGGCAGCCCAGGTCATGCTCACACATAGGACACATTCTGATTCACACCTCATTCCCATAACTTTCCTATCCTCACCACGGGCATTCCTGACTAACAGAGGACAATGGCAATCGTTTTCTGAGCCGTCACTTACCATGATACAAGTACAACTGACAAGTGGTCAAAAGATGCTTATTACACCTGGTCAGGAATTCAAAAGAGCGGCAAGGGCCTTCTCACAAACCCACCAATAAAGCAATATAGAGGGCTGGGCCCAGTGATTATGTACAGAACAGGCATCATGGTAAGATACGGCACAAGAAAAAATGACTTCTGTTTTTTGACCTCTATTTCCCAAATCAACACTGCCCCTCTCCTATGGTCCTTCCCTGACTCAAGGGGGAGACATGGGCTAGCAGCAAGAGGACGTGAGAGGGTTTTGGCCAGTTCCTTAGGCTCCAAGAAACCTTGGGTGAGTGGGGGCCACAATGAAACCATGTACCTCTTCCGATTTTTGTTGCAACCGCTCTGCCTCCTTCTTCAGCTTCTCCTTCTCCTGCTCAAGCTCCGCAATGGCTTTCTTCAGCTTCTCAGCGTCATGGTCGCTCTGCTGTCTCTGGATCTCCAGTGTCTGCACCAAGGTCATCTTCTCCCGGGTGGCCAGCTCTGTTTGGTGCAATTTCTGACTGATCTCCTCTGCCTGCTTTTTGAACCGTTTGGCCTCCTCCTCTGCCTTTGCCTGGGCCAGACTCAGCTCAGTCACCTGCACTTTGAGGCGCTCGGCATCAGTGGAGATCTCCAGTTGGCGCTTGCGCTCTGCCTCCAGGGTCTTCTGGAAGCCCTCGGCCTCCTCGGTGAGGCGGAGCTGCATCTGCTCTTTGTCCTCCTGTAGCTTCTTTGCCTGTTCCTGAGCCAAGTCCTTCTGTTTCTGAAGCATCTCTGCCTCAGCCTTCAGCCTTGTGGCTTCCTGGACGGCCACCATCTTCTCCTTCAGGATCTTCTCTGCCAAGGTTCGCTGTTGGGCCAGGTCCTGCTCAGCCAGCTCCCGCAGGCGGGCAGCCTCCTGGGCCTCTATGCTTAGCCGGGCAGCCTCCTCCGCCACCTGCTTCATCTTCTCAGCTTCTTCGGCCAGGAACTTCTGCATGTTGTCCTTGTCCTTCATGATCAGCGCCTTGTTCTCCCCCTCAATGCGGGCTTTCAGCTTGATCAGCTCCTCCATCTGGATCTTCACCTTGAAGAGTTCCTCCTCCACCTGGGCCTTCTGCTTCATGGCCTCAGTCACTTCGTCCTTTAGCCGCTGCTGCTCCTCCTCTAAGATGTTCTTCTGGTGGTCTGTCTGCTCCAGCTGCAGCTTGACCTTAGTCAGCTCCTGCTCCACCTGGGCCTTCTGCCGCAGTGTCTGTTCTGAAAACTTCTTGTGCTTGGCCATCTCGGCATCGGCCAGTTGCTTCTGCTTGAGGGCCGCCTGCTCGGCCTGGGCCCTTTTTGCTGCCTCCAGCTCAGCCTCCTTGCGCTGCCTCTCCGCATCCTCCTGGGCCTTGGCCTGGGCTTGGGCCTCCTCCTCCGCCCGCTGCTTCATACGCTCGGCTTCCTCTACCAGCTGCCGGGACAAGGCAGCCTCTTGCTCGGCCTTGATCCGGGCAAACTCAGCTTCCTCAGCGGCCTTCTTGGCCTGCTCTGCCGCCTCCCGCAGCTTGTCTAGGGCGCTCTGCTCCTGCTGCCGGGTCTGCATCAACTCCTGCTCCTTCTGCTGCACAGCAGCCAGGTGGGCCTTTTCCTCAGCTGTGATCCGCTTATGGGCTGCTTCCTGGGCCAGCTGGATTTGCCGCTCTGATTCCTTCTCGGCCAACTCCTTCTGCTTCCGGGCTTCTTCCACCTTGGCCTTCAAGCGCTCAACCTCATCCAGGGCTGCCTTGCACTGCCGGGCAGCCTCTTGCTCGGCTGCTGCGATCTTCTTTACTGTGGCCTCGGCCTCCCGTCGGTGGTTCTCCTGCTCCAGGGCCAGCTTTCGCAGCTCCTCTGCCTCGTGCTCTGCCTTCTCTTTGCTCCGCTGGATCTCCTCTGCACTCTGCTTGATTCGGTTGAGCTCCAGCTCCAAGTCGGTCTTGCCCAGGGAGGCTTTCTCAAAGTTCACCTTGAGGATGCGAATCTCCTCCTCCACAATGCGCCGCTGCTTCAGGGTGTCCTCCACTAGGCTCTTCTGCCGCTGCAGCTCATTCTCAGAGGACTTCTTCAGCTGTGCAATCTTCTCCTCGATGTCCTGCTTGTGCTGGGTGGCCTGCTCCTCCAGCAGCCGGCGCTGGTAGGCCTCGTCCTCAGCCAGCCGCCTGAGCCGCTCGTTCTCTGCCTCTTTCTCCTTCAGGGCGATCTCTGCTTCAGCCTTCAGCCGTGAGGCCTCGTTGAGGGCCACCAGCTTCTCCTTGAGGATACGCTCTGCTTCGGCCCGCTGCTGGGCGGCCTCTTCCTCAGCCAGTTGACGTTGGCGCTTGGCTTCCTCTGAGAGTGCGCGCAGGCGAGCGGCTTCTTCGGCCAGCTCACGCAGCTTGCTAGCTTCGGCCTCCAGGATCTGCTTGGATTTCTCACTGGTGGAGCGGGACTCCTCCTCGGTCTTGGCTTTGCTCTGCAGCAGGAGCTCCATCTCAGTACGCAGCTTGGCCAGTTCCTCCTCCAGCTCCTTCCGCTTCTGGATGGCTTCGCTCACCTCATTCTTGAGACGGAAGAGCTCCTCATCCAGCAGCAGGCGCTGCTGCTCCCCATTCTCCACCTCGGCCTTCAGTCGGATCAGCTCCTGTTCGGCCAGGAACTTCTGCTGGGCCGTTCCCTCGGCTAGCTTCCGCTGCTTTTCCAACTCCTGCTCGGCTAGCTCCTTCTGCCGCAAGGCTGACTCTTCAGCCTTGGAGCGCTTCCGGGCTTCGCGTTCTGCGTCCTCCTTCTGCTTCTCGGCCTCCTCCTGAGCCAGGGCCTTCACATGGGCCACCTCCTCAGCCTGCAGCCTCAGGCGCAACGCTTCATTGGCCTTCTGCCGCCACTTCTCCACCTCCTTCTCGGCCTCCTCGCGGGAATGCTCGGCCTCCAGCTGCAGCTTCTTCAAGCGCTCAGCCTCCTCCTGCAGGTGTGTGACTGTGATGTGCTCCTGCTTCAGGGAGAGCTCCAGCTGGGCGGTTTTCTCAGCGAAGGAGAGGCGCCGGCTCTGAAGGTCCACCTCGGCGCTTTTCTGGGCTGCCTCTTGGGCCACCTGGATCTGTCGCGCCTTCTCCAGCTCCGCCTGCTTCATCCGCCGCTCGGCCTCCTCCGCTTGCACGCGCAGCTTCTGCAGGTCGTCAAGTGCCTTCTGCTTCTCACGGGAGGCCTGCTGCTCTGCCTGCACCTTGCGCTTCAGCTCATCCTCTGCCTCCTTCTTCTTCTGGCTCTCATCCTTGACTTGCTTGCGCAGGCGCTCAGCCTCCTCCTGAGCCAACCGCTTCTGCCGTTCGGCCTCCTCGGCCCGCTCCCGGAGGGCCCGCAGCTCCTCCTCTGCCCCAGTCTTCTGCCGTTCTGAGGTCTCCAGCTGCAGCCGGACCAGGCGGATCTCCTCTTCCACCTTCCGCCGACTGAACTCCACCTCCTCGATCAGCTTGAGCTTGGCCTGGATCTGAGTGTCCGAGCTCTGTTTGACCTGCGAGAGCTCCTGCTGGATGGTCTGCTTCTGCTGTTCGGCATCCACAGCCACCAGCTGCCGCCGGCTGACCTCCTCCTCCATGCGCCGTTGCAGCTCTTGGGCCTCCCGCTCTGCTTGAGCCTTGGCCCTCGCGTGGGCCTCGGCCAGTTGCCTCTGCTTCTCCAGTTGGGCCTCCACCTCAGCCAGGCGCTGCTGCTCCTCCTCCTTGAGCTTCTCCGCCACTCTCTACAGGGAAGGGGCAAAGAAAGGGGGAAAGAGAGAGAAATCACAAGGGAGAGATTGGAGAAGGAGCCGAGAATAGAGAGATTGTGGGTGGGTGATGCTGTGACAAGTGGCGTGGCAGGGCCATGGCTCTTCCCAGGAGGCACCGGGAGAGATGGGTGGCAATCTGTTTCTTACTGAACACGACAGGCGAAGAAGCAGGAAAGACCCACGTACCAAGACTGGAGAATGGACAGGTGGACAGACGGACGAACAACACAAGATGGCAAGCAAAACCCAAGGTGGGAAGGCCGCAACAGAGACAGTCACCACCAGGATGTCTCTACTTGACAGCTCAGTACAGCAGAGTCACACCCCCACCACCAAAAGAGTCCAACTGTGGCGAAAACATGGGTAGCGAGCAGTAGCTGGGATGATCCCTCTTCTCCAGCAAGTCTGAGAAGGATCCAGACTGATAGGAGGACCACGTAGCCGTGGAGGCAAGGAAGGGATCGCTCACAGTGAGGAGGGAAACACTGGGTGAGGTTTGGCCCAGGTGTTCTCCTCACCCTCAATTGCCTCCAAGGGACTTCCGCTGTTTTGGCCCTCTTCGCCGGGCCATTCCCTCTGCAGCTTCTGGAAGTCCAAAGGCAGCAGCCAGGAGCCCCGCAAGCTGAGGGAGGCCACAGGGAGTGTTTGGGTGTGTGAGAGAGGGAGGGAGAAAGAAAGGGGGTCCCGTGAAGATCCAAAGGGTTGCCCCCCGCTCTCCTTCCCTCGCACACACTCAGAGAGGAAAGGAAGCATGCATGGGACACAGCACAGAGACACACCATGAAGAAGGCCTTGGAAGATACCAGGGTGCCTGGCACTTCCAGATCAAGATGACACAGAAATGGCACAAACGAGGAAGTGTTCGTGGGAAGGAAATGTGAGCGTGCGTGATGAGCCCCTTCCTCCAGACCATCTCTAACCAGTGGGTGCAGCCAAACCCCCCCTCAATAATCCCAAATGCCTCTATGGGGCCTACTTTCCATTCTCCCCGCCTGCTCTTTGGAGCCACCCCTCGCTTGACCTACAGAGCGCCCAGAGGAGAGGGGCAGAAGCAAGGGGGTTTGTTGTGGGGATGAGCGAGGGTGGCAAGGATGAGGAGGATGAGGAGAGCATGCACAGAGCGGAGGAGTACCTGATGCTGGGACGCCCGAGTCCTCCTGGTTTAAACCCTCCATTAGTTCCCCACCAACACAAACACTCCCCCAGACAAGCACTGGCAAAGCAGCTGGACTTCCAAAGAGCAGAAACCAAGAGTTAGAAAGGTTACCAGACCAGAGCATCTCAGAAAGACACAACAGAAGAGCAGGCTAAGAGAGAGTCGGACAGAAGGCGCAGCGGTGCGCAGTGTGTATCTGGGAAGTGCCTCTTCCTTCCTGCCAGGCTAAGCCAAACCCGTCCCAATGGCACTCGGGGGTCATGCTAGCAGCACTTGGGAGAGACCCCCGAAAAGGGTTCCCACCAGCCCTGGGCTGACGAGCCAAGGCATTTGTAAGGCATGGGGAGCATCACAGGCCAGTGTTAGTGGTGAGGGAACAGGCAGCCGGACGTGGGCCATCATGGTCCGAGAGGGAAGAGGAGGAGGCAGGCAAGGCATGCTGGGTCCCCAGCCCCTCCTTACCTCCTCTTCCTCCAGGCGCCGGAGGGTGTCCGTGATGAATTTCAGGTACTGGCTGGTCAGGGTGGTCAGCTCGCTGTATCGGGTTCGCAGGTCCACGTACTGGAAGAGCAGAATTGCAGGGTCCATCAGGAATGGTGTGGGGAGGAGGGCAAAGGGGGGGGGGGCACATGACAGGACGGTCTAACAAGAAGGAATGCCAGACCAGAGAGAGCTCTGGGATCCCTCTAGACTCCTTTCTGTGGCAGTGTGGCCACCAGACTTCCGAGGGAACCCCACTTAGAAAGCACAATCCCCATTCTCCCACCCCTTCCTTACCTCCTGGATGATGCTGTCTGAAGCAGACTGCACTTTTGGCTTCTTGGCAGGAGACACCACCGGTTCCACCTGGGCTTTGTAAGTCACCAGTTGAAGCTCATAGTCCTTTGAAAGTAAAATGGGGGCATGGAAGTGGGGGTGAATGTGTCAGTTCAAGAGACCTGCAGAGCTAGCCATTGACCTCCAGCTCCACGCAGTCTCTGCCCCTGCCCCCTTGCACACAACATGAATAACCCCACCCCACTCACCTTGATGGAATCAATATACTGCTTAGCAAAACGCTGACACTCCTCCACCTTCTCCCGATTCCGATCGCATTCCTCCAGGAGTTTCTGGGGGGATAAAACAGAGCCTTGAGCCAAAGAGTGGACGTATGAGTAGATGGGCAAAGGGAGGGTCACTCCATAAACACCAGAAAAGCCTTGAATCTGGGTCCGGCTTTTCATGGGCATATCTGACACTACTTTTGGGACGACCATGAGCAGCTTCAGGGAATTCCAAGGAGAAGGAATGCAGGAAGAGTGAGCGAGTCAGAGAAGGAAGGAAAAAAAGGGAGGGAGGTTCTGCATTGCTCATACAGATGCTGCTCTGTGGCCACTTTCTGCAGGCAATATCCCTTGCCCTCCATCATTCATGAAACACCTATGCTGAACACAGGGCAGTGACCCGCCATTGACTCTGCATGGTGTACCTTTTCCTGCAGCAGCTGCTCCCGCACGTTCTTGCTGCTGGTGATGGGCACAGCCTGCAGGCGCTCCTGCCGCTGCCGGGCATCCTGGATCCACTGGATCAGCCAGTCGTAGGACTCGCGGTAGTAGCGCAGCTGGCGGCCCAGTTGGTCTAACTCCCGCTGGCGCAGGTCGATCTGGGCCAGGATGGCCTGCCAGCGCTCCAGCAGCTGCTGCACCCGCTCCCGGTAGCGGTCCAAGTCGATGTCCCTCTCGCTGTGGCCGCGGACCATGCGCTCGTTCACCTCACTGGCCTTGCCCAGGTCCGCCTCCAGGGTGCTGAAGAGGGGCTGGTGCCCTTCCACCTGCCCTCGCAGCCGCTGGGGGGAAGACACACACACAGAGGTTGAGTAGGACAAGGAGGGGAACGATGGAGGGAAGAAGGGGCTGTGGTATTTCCACTCCTCTCCTGCCTACCCTTCTACCCCTCACCTTCAGCTCTGCCTTGGTTGCCTCCAGGGCCTTGACATCCGCAGGCACCGCCTGCACATCCTTCAGTTGCTCCTCGTATTTGCGGATAAGGTCCTCCGCCCCCTGAGTGCTGCGGATCACCAGGTGGATGGTCTTCAGTCTGCAAGGGAAGAGACAGGACCGTAAGTCTTTAGGATTGGGGTCAACCAGTAGTTAAAGGCAGGAACCTGCCTATTCGTTAAAGGTCTTGTAGAGAGAATGCGCTCATTGCAACACTGAGCAAAACTTAAACAACTCAATACAGATAAAAGAACAGCCTATGAGGAACACAACAGCAGATCTAAGAGCATCGCTTAGAAGGAAAGATCGGATGAACTAGATAGGCAAAAGTGTGTGGGGGTAGGGTTGAAGGCTCACTTTCAGACACTGGAAGGGACCAGGAAAGCAAGTGCCCCTCACCCTGGGATCCATGCTCAGGACCCCCCCCCCCCCCCCCACCAAAACTCACTGCTTCTCTTGGTGGGCTGTGGGCCCATGCAAGGCTCTGGGAAGGGGCAACCCTAGAATGTTTTCATTCAGGGCACAGCTTAGAACTATGGGAATGAAGCTAATTTGTCATGACTCAGCAAGGGGAAAAGGCAAATGTGCCTCCTGAGGAAAGCTTGCTTTGGTGTCACAGTCAAGCTGAAGCAAAAGGAACCATAGACCAGGAAGACTCACATGGAAGAGGATGGGCAACACACGGCACTTACTTCTCCAGGTAGATGCTGGAGAGACTGTAGACCTGGTCCATCTTCTGGAGCGTGAGGTCCAGCTCAGAGTGGAGGGAGGGGGCCGAGCCGGCCTTCTCTGGTTGGGCAAGCACCTGCTCTGTCTTGGCACTCACTTTCCCCAGGTTCTTCTTGATGCCCTCCAGTTCTTGGTGGATTTGCTGGAGAGAAGGAAAGAGGAGGACCAGAAATGAGCCCAGAGAGTTCAGCTGCAGTGGGGAGGCTGCTCCCCTGCACAAATTAGAGGTGGCAGGGCAGGACCCTCCTAGTCCTGGGAGCAGCTAGGATCCTTTGGTGAGCCTCTCTTGCACAGCACACCTGACTCTGACTAGGTCAGGGTTTCTCAACCTGGGGGTCGGGACCCCTGGGGGGGTCGCGAGGGGGTGTCAGAGGGGTCGCCAAAGATAATTACAAATCACAGTATTTTCTGTTGGTCATGGGGGTTCTGTGTGGGAAGTTTGGCCCAATTCTTTCAATGGTGGAGTTCAGAATGCTCTTTGATTATAGGTGAACTATAAATCCCAGGCACTACAACTCCCAAATGTCAAGGTCTATCCTCCCAGTGTCCACGTTTAGGCATATTGAGTATTCATGCCAAGTTTGGTCCAGATACATCAGTGCTCTCTGAGTGTAGGTAAACTACAACTCCAAAACCCAAGGTCAATGGTCATGGGAGCTCTGTGACCCAAGTTTGGTTCAATTCCATCATCGGTGGAGTTCAGAATGCTCTTTTATATTGTAGGTGAATTATAAATCCCAGCAACTACAACCCAAAATCAATCCTCCCCTCAACCCCACCAGTATCCAAATTTGGGCGTATCGAGTATTCGTGCCAAATGAATGAAAATACATCCTGCATATCGGATATTTACAAGATAATTCATAACAGGAGCAAAATTATAGTTGTGAAGTAGCAATGAAAATAATGTTATTGTTGGGGGTCACCACAACATAAGGAACTGTATTAAGGGGTCACAGCATTAGGAAGGTGAGAACCACTGGACTAGGTAGATTCCCCTTCTGCCTCCCCAGAGATGTGGCTGAGGAATGCAGTGGGGGCTTTGGCACCCCTAGCCAAGGGTCAACCTCGGAGATGCAGACCCTGGGGTTCTCCCCTGTTGTGCCTGCCTTCTGCTGTGGGGTCGGGACAGCGGTACCTGCTGGTCGGTGATGCGCTGGGTGCACTCCTTGGCGGGGTCCTTGTCAAGCGGCAGGCGGATCTTGTGGATGGTGCGCGACTCACAGCCCTCCAGCTGCAGGCGGATGTCCTTCAGCTGGGAGATGTAGTTCCGGCAGAGCGACTCTTCCTGCTCCCCTGGAAGGCACCACAAGGCAGGGCACTCAAATCTCTTGGGGAGCCAAAACTCAACAGCCTTCTTCAGAGTGGCCCCTTAGGTCTGGCCCACAAGGAGGGCAGGGGGCACCTGCACTCCCTTCACAGGCTGCCCAGCAATGGAGGAGGAGAGGCATCCTGCCCCTCTGCAAGACTGGGTGTGCTTGGACACCCCAAACAAAGGCAAAGCTTGGGCTCCGTGCCTTGTTGCCAAACCCATGTTATTTGAAAAATTATTTGACCCCACAACAGGTGGGAAACCCTCTGGGGAGCAAAAGTAGTACATTTTTTGTACCTAGGAGGTCTCAAAGCAGGAAGTGGTACTTGGGCTCACTTCCTGTTCTTGGAAATGGTATCTTTAAGGCATTTAAAATGGATGAGGGGCATACAATGGATCATAGGAGCCTAGTGTCTAGTTCTAGGGAAGTAATGCTCCCTCTTCTGCTTTGGTTAGACCACACCTGGAATATTGTGTCCAATTCTGGGCACCACAATTCAAGAGAGATATTGACAAGCTGGAATGTGTCCAGAGGAGGGCGACTAAAATGATCAAGGGTCTGGAGAACAAGCCCTATGAGGAGCGGCTTAAGGAGCTGGGCATGTTTAGCCTGAAGAAGAGAAGGATGAGAGGGGATAGCCATGTATAAATATGTGAGAGGAAGCCACAGGGAGAAGGGAGAAAGCTTCCTTTCTGCTTCCCTGGAGACTAGGACGCAAGGGAACAATGGCTTCAAACTACAAGAGAGGAGATTCCATCTGAACATGAGGAAGAGCTTCCTGACTGTGAGAGCCGTTCAGCAGTGGAACTCTCTGCCCCGGAGTGTGGTGGAGGCTCCTTCTTTGGAAGCTTTTAAACAGAGGCTGGATGGCCATCTGTCAGGGGTGCTTTGAATGCAATATTCCTGCTTCTTGGCAGAATGGGGTTGGACTGGATGGCCCAGGAGGTCTCTTCCAACTCTTTGATTCTATGATTCTAGGAGCACTGCAAAAGTGTCCCCTGCTGCACAGAAGATGTGTGAGGAGCTGCTGTCCTCCAAAGTCTTGGGGGCAGGGGCTACATGTGCTCGCAGCCCCCAACAACTATCCCCCCATCCTAGAGCCCAATTTCTCCTCCAGCATCTCAGCCACTGGGCTGTACAGGAAGTCCAGGTGGCTGATGGGGAGCCAGAGCAGCCCCCTAAGCCAAGAATGCTTCCCCCCCCCCCCCCCCCCGCCAGGGCTGGGCCTTACCTTTCTCCAGGCCACGCAGGAGCAGCTCGTACTTCTGGTTGCAGGAGGTGACCTCACGTTCCACCTGCAGCCGGTCGTCCGGCAGGAAGTTCTGGGCATCCTGGCTGCTGCGCAGGAACTCCTGGTAGTGGGTCTCCAGGCTGCGCAGGACCTGCCTGTACTCCTCAGGTGGCATCGTCCGGAACTGCAGGAGAGAGACCCCATCAGAGAGCGAAGTGCGGCGTTTGGGGAGATGGGATGGACCCAGAACCCCCTTCCCCACAGTTCAGTCCACAGGCACCAGCCCCAAGGGCTATGGGGCAGAAGAGGGGTGTGGCATTGGAACTGGACTTCCCCTGCAGCCGGAGGGGCATCTCTGCCTGCAAGTTCCAGCAAGATGACCCCCAGTGGCCCCTTTCAACTCTAAGATGCAGTGACTGCATGCATTGCAAGACAAGGGATTGCACTGAAACTCTGGGAAGCACTTCTTGACTGCAAGGATTGATTCACGGTTCGGGGGGGGGGGGGGTCGGGTTCGGGAATATAGAGGTGGACTCTGCTTCTATGGAGGTCTTTGCACAGAAGCAGGGTGGTGCTCTAGCTGTGTGTTCCTGAAAGGCAGAGAGCTGGGATAGATGCTCCCTGGGGATCCCTTTCTCCCAACTGGGGGGCTCACAAGATCCTCCAGTTTACCGCAAACATGGAGCAAAGTCACTCGACTGCAAGCCTTGAGAGCACAGCAGGGGCAGTGCCTGTTGGCATCCCAGGAGTCCCAGTGGCTGGAAAGTGAGCGGGTCAGCAACTTCCCAGGGGTTCCCCCTCCTTGACCCCAAGGGTGACATGGCCCAAAGGCACGCTTGGATTCATCTGTGGACCCAGAGATCTCAGGGGCTTCTTCTTAACCAAAATGTTCTGCAATTCTCTAACACTCTTAAAAAGCAATGCTAGACAAGGGAGGAGGGAGCAAGCTTCCTTTTTGCTGCCCTGGAGAAAGACTAGGACGGACGCAATGGAGCCATGGCTTCAAACTATAGGAGATTCCACCTGAACATGAGGAAGAACTTCCTGACTGTGTGAAAGAGCTGTTCAGCAGTGGAACTCTCTGCCACGGAGTGTGGTGGAGGCTCCTTCTTTGGAGGCTTCTAAACAGAAGCTGGGTGGCCATCTGTTGGGGGTGTTTTGAATGTGATTTTCCTGCTTCTTGGCAGAATGGGGTTGGACTGGATGGCCCACCAAGTCTCTTCCAACTCTAGGATTCTAGGATTCTAAGGACCCCTTTATGGCCAATCCTCACAGCACGCCCAAGCAGGAAGGGAAAATGGTGGGATGGAGGAGGACCAGGGACACCCTGCCACTCCCACCTCCCCAAATCACATTCTCTCTAGAGAGAAGGTGCTTCACCCTGGCAGCATTGCCTTAAAGGATGGGATGGGGACAGTATAATAGAATCCTAGAATCCCCCAAGGGTCCTCCAGTCCAACCCCCTACTGACAGGCAGGAAAACACCATTAACGCCCTCTTTACAGATGGCCATCCGACCTCTGCTGGAAAACCTCCTGAGGTGAGAGAGCGGCAAGGGGGGGAGGTGGAGGCTGACCGTGAGGAGTGTCCAGGACTGGATCTGCTGGATGTGCCGTTGGAGGTGCTGCCAGGAGAGGAGGCTCCGTAGGTCGATGTGCATCTGGTGCCAGAGCGATAGCAGGCCTTTGTGGGTTCCCTCCAACCTGTGGGGTGGGGGTGAGAGAGGGGTGTTAGCACAAAGGCTCCAGGGCTCACAAAGGCATGCCAGGAGGAGTGCTTGGCAAAGCTCAGGGGTCTGTTTTTTTGGGGGGGTTAGGACAGGAGGGAGGGGGACCCTGTCCAGTCCTTTCTGTGGTCCCTGAGTTGTGCTTGGGATTCTTGGGGGGGGGGGACACTACCTATCCACGCTGGGTAGAGGGGGCTGCATGGCTGACCTGCTGACCACATCCAGTGCCTCCTTGTTGGGCGGAGGCACCATGAAGCAGATGGACGGCACGACGGACTCGCTCCCGGCCGCGTTCAGCACCTTCCACTTGTGGGGCTGGCTGTTGTTGAGGAGGGTGCAGGCGTCTCCCTTGTGAACTGTGATCTGGGTTGCCAGGAGGGGGCAGAAAAAAGGGTTCATCTTTAGCTAGCCACCCGAGGCCCCTCCCAGCCTCAACCCCTACAGAAGTGGCCCCCATTCCTCCCCTCCCCCCAGCCACTCACCTCCATCTGCTTGTAGTCACAGACCGCCTGGATGGGCAACCGGCCCTTGACTGGGGAGGAGGGGCTGCGCGGCTTGAGCTGGACGATGGTCTTGGCGCGCTTGGCCAGCCCTGCCAGGTGGGCCTGGTACTCTGCCAGGTGCTCCTTCTCGTCCTAAAGGGGGCAAAGCAGGAGGCACAGGGAGGGGTCAGGACGGGCCACCAGACACGGGTTTTGCGGGGCACAGCGTTTTCCAAGTGAGGAAGTAGCCATGCTGTTCTATATACAGTGTTCCCTCACTTATTGTGGGGATTCCATTCCAGGACCACCACAATAAGTGAAAATCTGTAAAGATGGGACGCCATATTAATTATAATATTTATACATTATTTTATATATTATTTTCTTAGCCATGCTTCCTTACCCGCCTCCTGGCCCATCCCAAGGTCCCCTGCCCGCCTCCCTGGCCTCCGCAGACCCCGGCAGAGCATCTGGAGCCATGCAGGTAGCAGCAGACCAGGGAGGTAGGCCTTCCCCGTCACTCCACAAGCCACAGCACTTCTGAGGTCTCTGGAGGCCAGAGAGATAGGCCTTTCCTGCAGCGCCTCAGGTCGCTGCACTTCCAGAGCCCCTGGCTTCCACTGGACATAAATATTTTTTATTTTTTATTAATATTTTCAAAAACCCGCTGTGACGATGTGTAACTTTTATTCTTATGGTTATGTGTTGTTTAAATAGTAGTTAATAAATGGTAAGTATGTAGGATTATATTTTGTTAGAGATGGTGGCTGGTTTGGCTTGAGCTGAGTTGCCATAGCAACGGGGGCAGAGCCAACTGTCACTTCACGGGGCAGCTGTTTGAAATAGGCAGTCTGTAAGCCAGTGAGCTACAGGGAAGACTGATTTCTCTAGTGGGAGAATCAGGGAAGAGTCTGTGACTATTAGAGTTGCAGAAAGGACTGATTTCTCTAGTGGGAGAAACAGGGAACTAGTCTGTGACCAAAGAGTTACAGGAAAAGGTAGTTGATCCTGTGGTGTGTGGAAAACCATCAGGAATACTATAGTTAGAGAACTATAGGGAAGACTGGTTCTTTAATATTAAGAATCAAGGTTTGGCTGGGAGCCAATTCTGTTAAATAAGCCTTTTAGCTTATTTGTTTTATTAGGACAGTTGTCCAGGAAAGATACATCTGCTTACAGAAACCTCTTAAAGTCTGTACCTAAAGTTACTCATGAAACCTTACTAATGTAACCAATCAAGATTTGTGCCTCTTGTGAAGAAACATGAATATGTTATACTCCTGTTAAATAAATTTGTTACTGTTCTCCTCAAGCCTTGCCTGATACAGTTTCTCCTAAGTCAAACAGCCTGCATAAGAAGTAAAACCAAACCAGGGACAGTAAACGCTACGCTATCAAATAAGTAAATCCTTCTTTGTAAAACAGCTCCTAAGTTGATGCTGAGAACTACTGGGCTTCCTCACAGATTAGGTGGCAGTAATTTTACGCCACTTTACACCCGCGAAACAGCTAGTCCGCTAAAAGCGAACCGCGAAGTAGTGAGGGAACACTGTAGGGCAGTGAGGGAGAGAGGGAACCCTGGGGCACAGGCCTCCTGCCTTGTTTTCTCCTCTCTTTCCTAGGTCTATACAGGTCAAGGTGCTTTTTCCTCCTGGCTGGATGAAGAGATCACCTCTCCCTTCTTCCCGTGGTGTGCTTTTATGACTCTTTCTTTGAAAAGGGAGCATCATGAGACTTCTCTCTGCCTCGAGATGCCACAGACACAGAGGTGAGAGTCAACTTCATGGACCCTTCTATCAAAGTTATGGGACTCTTTTTTTTGTTTACGTTCTTGCCTCCTTTTTTGAACCTTATCAGAGCCTTATCCTGTCTCTCCGGCGGGTTTCCTACCCGAGGTTACATATAGCACTTGCTACACTGCCCTCTGCTGAAGATGCCAACTATTCCTACATTGAGAGAGGTGTGGGAGAGGGGGGTTTGTGCATGTGCCCCCGCCCTCACCTGGGAGTCCTGCAGCAGGTCCTCCAGGCGCGTCACGGTGACTGAGCGGTCGCACACAAACTTCTTCCGCATGGTCTCCTGGGTCTTGCGCAGGGACTCTTCCGCCTCCTTCACGTCTGAGAAGAACTGGGGGGAGGGGGTGGAGAAGGGGTGAAGAACTGAGCAGACCAAGGATCAATTGCAACTCCGCCTGCCCCCCAACCACATCCCACCCATTCTGGTCAGGATCCACTCCTTGGCCCACTAAAAAAACCAATGTGATTCTAGGTTGCATCAACAGAAGCCTAGGTTGGGGAAAATCATCCTCTTTGATCAGACTCCATCTAGACACGTGAAAGGACACATGAAAACAGTAAATATGGAAGGGGTTGAGTGGACATGGGTCAACAATGTGATGGGGCAACTTATTTATTTATTTACAGTATTTATACTCCGCCCTTCTCACCCCAAAGGGGACTCAGGGCGGATCACAATGCACACATACACGGCAAACATTGAATGCCATTTTTGACATACAAGACATACAGACAGAGAGAGGCCATTCAGCAGTTCTTCCACTTTGGATCCTGGAGGTTGCTCGATTCGGCCATGGGGAGCTGTCGTTTCGTCCACTATGACGCCAAGCCTTTTGATCATAGTATTTCCTCTTTGCTCTCCAGCATAAATTAACCTCCCTGCTTTAAGCAGTCCCTAATTTCTCTACGGGAGCCCCCGGTGGCGCAGTGGTTAAAGCACTGAGCTGCTGAGCTTGTTGATCGAAAGGTCGCAGGTTCGATTCCGGGGAGCGGCGTGAGCTTCCGCTGTCAGCCCTAGCTTCTGCCACCCTAGCAGTTCGAAAACATGCAAATGTGAGTAGATCAATAGGTACCGCTCCGGCGGGAAGGTAACGGCGCTCCATGCAGTCATGCCGGCCACATGACCTTGGAGGTGTCTACGGACAACGCTGGCTCTTCGGCTTAGAAATGGAGATGAACACCACACCCCAGAGTCAGACATGACTGGACTTAATGTCAGGGGACTACCTTTACCTTTTTTAATTTCTCTACTCGCAGCTCACAGCTGTTTTCGAACTGCTTAGGTGTACAGTGAGCTGGGCTATTTTTTAACAGCTATTAACAGTCGGTAGTTCAACCCCAACTCGGGCTTTGAACTTGCCACCTGTCGATTGGCAGTGATTTATTGCAGCTGGTTAACCTGCTATGCTAACAGCCCAATGCAATTTTAGGCAGCATCTATTGAAGTCTAGTTTTCGAACTGCTTAGGTGTACAGTGAGCAGAGCTATTTTTTAACAGCTATTAACAGTCGGGAGCTCAACCCTGACTCGGGCTTCAAACTTTCCACCTGTCGGTCGGCAGCGATTTATTGCAGCTGATTAATCTGCTGTGCTAACAGCCCAATGCAATTTTAGGCAGCATCTATTGAAGTCTAGTTTTCGAACTGCTTAGGTGTACAGTGAGCAGAGCTATTTTTTAACAGCTATTAACAGTCGGGAGCTCAACCCTGACTCGGGCTTCAAACTTTCCACCTGTCGGTCGGCAGCGATTTATTGCAGCTGATTAATCTGCTGTGCTAACACCCAATGCGATTTTAGGCAGCATCTATACAAGTCTAGTTCCCCCTCTATTCTACTTTAGTCTAGACTTCACCTAGGATAACAGTAGTAATAGAATAATAGAGTTGGAAGAGACCATATGAGCCATCTGGTCCAACCCCCTGCTATGCAGGAGGTGCACCATCAAAGGACATCAAACTAGTGTCTGGTTCTAGCCAAAACAATTCAAGTTATGGAAACTGACAATCGGGAACACGTCCAGAAAAGGATGACCCAAAATGGTCCAAGGCTTAGAAGCCAGGTGGTAGGTATGACCGGTGTCTTGTAGGGTTAGGTATCTTTAGCTTTGAGAAAGGAAGGGGATGGGAGAGCCATGTTGAAAGTATCTGAAAGGGTGTCACACTGAAGAGAAAGGGGCAAGCTTTGCTTTCTGCTGCTCTGAAGGCCAAGACAGAATGGAGCCATGGGTCCAAATTGGAGAAAAAGTGGTTAAACAATAGGAAGAACTTGAGAATGGTCAGATGGACAGTGGAATCCACGGTGGCCTGGGAGTCTTCTGGAGGTTTCGAAGCAGAGGCAGGGTGGACATCTGTCCAGAGGGCTTGGGTTGCCTCTTCCTGCCTGGCAGAAGGGGGTTGGGCTTGATGGCCTGTGGGGTCTCTTCCAACTCTAGGATTCGATGATTGGCGCAATACCTGGAAGTAGGCTGTGTTCTCCTTGAGGTGGGCCTCAATGCAGCAACACAGCTGCAGCATCCAGCTCCACTGAGTCTGCAAGGCAGCCTGGAAGGCCTATGGGCAGAGAGAGCGGGGAGGGGAGGGAGAGTCAGCTGAGGCTGGACCCCATGCCAGATACAGTGGGGGGCGGGGGTGTTCTCCGCCCTCCTGCAGAGATAATGCCAGGAAGTGGGCATCTGATGTGCAAACACATGACTGGCAGACCATTGCCGGAGCCACGGGTTGGGGCTGTCATGGGACCCAGTGGCACATGATGCGTGCCCCCATCCCCCCACCAGCAAAGGAAGGGCAGGGCTTTGGGGCCCACCTCCACCGTCTGCTTGGCTGGGTGTCCCTCCTGCAGCAGCCGGTCACCGGTGCTCTGGATCTCCTTGATCTTGCGCTCGCGCTGCTCCAGCTCCCGCATCAGGCCCTGGAAGAGGGAGGAGGAAACATGTAGGGGGGAACACAGAGCCCCTGCGGCCTCCCCTAGACTGAAATGCGAGGGCCGCCCTCTCCCCATACCGAGTAGCTCTCCTTCTTGGCGGCCATGTTGCTGTTGCGCTCACTCCAGTCGTAGGTCACCTCCTCCTCCTCCTTCTCGTTCAGCCACATCAGCTCCTTGGTGGCCGCCGCCACAAAGGCCTGCAGGCTCTCCAGGTGACGCAGCCGGGCCTTGGAGGAGTTCTGCAATGAAATGGACGGACAGACCTGGTCAAGGTGTCCTGCCTCCTCTCAACCCATCTCTCGCAAGACCCATGCCCTGACCCTCAGACCACCAAGAGTCACGTTCCAGCCAGAAAGGAGGCAGGAGCTCAGCGTCCCACTAATAGGTCCACTTTCCCTTGGACCGTCTGCCATCCTACTTCTCCTTTCTGGCTGGACATTGGCTGGCGGTTCCTGCAAGTTTCCAACCCATACAAGCTTCCAGGCCTCAAGCTTAGGCAGAGCTACCAGAAAGATGAACCAGAGGCAGAAGGCAGGTTCAATCCAATCCTATCCTCATGCAATCCAATCCTATCCCCACTAGAGAAATCAGTCCTTTCTGCAACACTAATAGTCACAGACTCTTCCCTGATTCTCCCACTAGAGAAATCAGTCTTCCCTGTAGCTCACCGGCTTACAGACTGCCTATTTCAAACAGCTGCCCCGTGAAGTGACAGTTGGCTATGGCAACTCCGTTGCTATGGCAACTCAGCTCAAGCCAAACCAGCCACCATCTCTAACAAAATATAATCCTACATACTTACCATTTATTAACTACTGTTTAAACAACACATAACCATACAAATAAAAGTCAATTTTCGTTTTGGGAATTTCAGCCTGCCTTGTTTCCAGCCTCCTGTCCCTTTCACACAGCCTTGTGTTCCAAATCGTCCTGGCCATTGCCACACAGCAGAGCCCACCCAGGCCCGCCATAGGGGACCCCACGGCTAGAGCACCCTCTTTTTCTCACCAGAAGCTTGGCGTACTGCAAGTCCAGCTTGCCCAGAAGGTCCCGGTAGGCACCCCGTGGTCCAGGCGAGAGTTGAGCCTGTGATTAATAGATGGATGGATGAGAGAAAGGAAAGAGGGAAGGAGGAAAAGAAAAGAGAGAAAAGGGGGACGAGGAAGGAAAGAAGCAGAAGGAAGAAAGGAATGAATAAAAAGGAGGAAGGAAGAAAGGAAAAGTAGAGAGGGAAGGGATGAGACTGAGTCTCAGAGGAAAGTGGCCCAGTGTGGCCCCCGTCCTTCCTTCTTCCCTTTGCCCTCCTCCCTCCACCTGTACGGCACCCGATAGTCACACGCACACACCTCGTCGGCACGTGCCCGCTCGATCTTGGGGCGGAAGTCCTCAATGGACTGGTGGAGGCCACGGTGGCTGCCCAACTGGGAGTCCACGGTGGGTAGGTCCACACCCCACTCGGCGGCCCCAATGCGCTGCTGGTTCTCTTCCACCCAGGAGAGCAGATCCTGCAGGTAGCGCAGCGTCACGTCGTCCAGCTCTGGCCGCACGCGCTGCTGCTGAGTAACTAGCACGGACGTCTGGACAATGGGTGCTGGACCCGACTTCAGTCGCAAGTTGTACTCGGTGCGGATGGCCACCAGGCGCTCGTGCAAGCGGTAGACCCTGGAGCAAGGGAAAGCAGGGCTGGGAGTCAGCAAGGCAGGCGTCTTCCCTTGGGATGGAGGGGGCCGTCACCCCCAAAACACATGGCGCAATGACACTGCAGTGACACGAGTCACCACCAGGGGGCAGCAGTGGTTGTGGATGGAAGTCCACCTGATGCTCTTTTTCCATCACTGGCCATTTGGGGATTGGTCTCGCCTGCCCACTGAAAAGGCTTAGACTCTGCAGCAGTAACAGTCACTATTATGGCCATCTGTCAGGAGTGCTTTGTCTTTCCTGCCTTCCATATTGGGTTGGACTGGCTGGCTCTTGGGGTCTTTTCCAACTTGAGGGTCCTACAATTCGGCTGCCTTCATGCAAGCAGCCAGCTCAATGGAGGGACCTACCCAACCTCAGGGTTCTATGATTCTACTGCCTTTATGGAAGCAGCCAGCTCAATGGAGGGACCTATATATTTGGGGGGGGGGGGGGTCTGACCTGCGGTACATCTGCTCCCCCTGCGGGTGGCGCCCGTCCTTCAGGGCCTGGACGTCGTTGAAGAGCAGCCGGATCATGGCCTCCGCCTTGTCCAGGTCCCGCTCAATCTCGGCCGACTTCTGTGGGGCCTTGCCGGCATTCAGCAGCCGGATGTCCTGGCAGGAGAGAGAGAAATGGGGGGGGGGGGGGGATGAGGGCAGCCTGCCAAGCAGCTCCCAGCCACACCCAACAGCCCTGCAGAGCGGACGACAATGCCACAGCCACAGCCACTTCCCTTTCGCCTCCTTCTCTCTCTCAAAACCAGAGGCTTCTTACCGACTGCAGGAGGGTGTCTGCCTGGTTGAGCTGCTCCTCGCAGAGACCCGACTCCATCTGGAGCTTGCTCACAATGCGCTGCAGCCGCTCCAACCTAGAAAGAGGGGCAGCAGGATGGAGGAGGAGGAGGGAAATGCAAGTGGTCAGCAGAGGATCCTCAAAAGATTGCTGTGCCCCCCCTCACCTCCACCTGCTCTGTCCCCCTCCCCACATCCCATTCCTGCCTCTATCCCCCCCATAGTAAAGGGAGATGAGCCCTTGGGTCCCACCAGTTGCTCCAGAGCAGCTTTGGCCCTGCTTGGGCTGTGGTTCGGGCCTTGGTGCCGTTTCCTGATTGGGGGGGGGGGGAGGAAGAGTGGTGAGTCACCGGCTGTCTGTTTCCCATTAGAGAGTTGGGCAGGGCCAAAGGCAGGCAGGCAGGGAGGGGGGGCAGTCCTCCCCAGGCGGAGGGAAGGGCAGCTCCAGGGCTGAAGCCTCAGGACATTCTCTTTCCTTCTTTCCTTCCTTCAGGCCTTGCCAGGAAAGCATTGCCTGGAATGGTCAATGCCCGACTCCCTTCCCAACTCACCTCTCAAACTCGGAGCGCAGGAGCTTCTCGCGCTCCAGGATAGCCACGTGCAGCTTGCCCCACTCCTTCTCCACGTCCAGCGGGTGGTAGCCAGGGGGCACCTTCACCTGCCCGGACTGGACGGCCGCCTTTCAAATTGCATGGGGAGGGAAGGATGAGGGGAGAGAAGTCTGGTCAGATACATAGTATAGCATGGCACTGACCTACAAGAAGCACTGCCTGAACATCAAGCAAAAAGTGGGTGCTAGAAACAATATCATACGAAAGCTGACTGGCACAACCTGGGGATCACAACCAGATATAGTGAAGACATCTGCCCTTGCGCTGTGCTACTCTGCTGCTGAGTATGCATGCCCAGTGTGGAACACATCTCACCATACTAAAACAAGTGGATGTGGCTCTTAATGAGACATGCCGCATTATCACGGGGTGTCTGCGCCCTACACCACTGGAGAAATTACACTGCTTAGCCGGTATTGCACCACCTGACATCCGCCGGAAGTAGCAGCCAATAGTGAAAGGACCAAGGCAGAGACATCTCCAGCTCATCCCCTGTTTGGGTATCAGCCAGCACGACAACGACTTAAATCTAGAAATAGTTTTCTAAGATCGGCAGAGACACTCGCTGGAACACCTCAGCAAGTGAGAGTCCAAAAGTGGCAGGCTCAAACCCAGGACCTCAACCCATGGCTGATACCAAATGAGAGACTCCCCCTTCCTGGGCACACAGAAGACTGGCGACTTGGAAGGCACTGAACAGACTGCGCTCTGGCACCACGAGATGCAGAGCCAACCTCAAGAAATGGGGCCACAAAGTGGAATCCACAACATGCGAGTGTGGAGAAGAGCAAACCACTGACCACCTGCTGCAATGCAACCTGAGCCCTGCCACATGCACAATGGAGGACCTCCTTGCAGCAGCACCAGAGGCACTCCAAGTGGCCAGATACTGGTCAAAGGACATTTAACCAACTACCAAACTCACAAGTTTTGTATTTGTTTGTTTGCTTTGTTCTGTTAGAAATGTAATATAATGGACTGGTTGCTCTGACACGACAAATAAAAAAATAAATACTGGGGGGTGGGGAAGGGGGTCAAGGAGCCTGCCATAGGTCTTGGGCAATGCCACCCCAGCCCCTCTCCCACATGAAGGGCAAGACTGGAGGCTTGCCCTTGAGCCCACCTCGAAGGACTGGTAGATGGCCTTGGAGCGGTTCTTGTCGGCCTCCTTGGCAGGGAGCTCCGTCTCCTTGAACTTCAGGAACTGGCGCCAGAGGATCTGTGGGAGGGAGATGCCAAGGGAAGAGGAGGGGGTGAGCCGTGGGGGGTCATCTTGGGAGGGAGCAACATGTGGGGCAAGGGGGGCTGGGACGACCTCTGGGCAGCCCCCATCCATGCCATGGGAGCCAACACCCTTCCCCTGCTCCCACTCCTCTGTGGAGGCATTCCAGATTCCAAGTCTCCAAGGAGTGGGGGGGGGGCACACCTTGAGCAAGACCCCTCCCTTCCCCAGCTGGAGCTGGAGCCTGAGAGGCAGAGCGATGACACCAGGGGGCACCCTTTCTGCTGAGGAATTGGCAGGTTTCCCTTTCCTTGTCCCGCCTCCCTCTCTGCAGGTGAGGTTGGGAGGGAGGGAGGAGCAGCCCTTTCATCCCCAGCCAGAACGGAATGGATCTGCTCCAAGGAAGGCAAAGAGCAGAGAGAAGGAGGGAGGGAAGCAGCTCAAGGTGGAGAGTCCCAGCAGCAAGGAGAGGAAGGGTGGGAGGGCCAGACCCCAGCAGCTGCAGCCACTGACCCAGCTCCTTGAAGGTGCTCCTTGGCCTTAGACGCGCATTGTGGAGATGGAGGCTTCAGTCTCTGCAGATTCGGGGGAGGTATGGGGGGGGGCATTGTGGGGCCAACTCTCACCTCGATCTCCTCGTAGCTGGCGGGGAACTTGCGCTCCTCGAAGACCAGGGTGTGATGCCGCATCCATTGCAGGAGCAGCGTCACCACTTCATAGTACTCCTGCCAGCGCAGCTGCAGCTCCTGCAAGAGGGGACAACGTGGGTCCCCACCACCAAGCCCTTCTTGCAGGCCCTTCCTGCCGCAGACCCCCCCCCCTTGCAAATCCCACTTATCCCCCACCAGCACCACTCACGTTGGCTTTGACCCCGTCCTGCACGTCCGGGACCCGCGGCATGGCGTCGTAGAGGGAGGAGACGTAGGTGATGATGGACTTCTCGTCTGGCTGCGGCACGTCCACGTCTGGGGAAGAGAATGGTCATCAGTGCCCCCTTAGACCTACATCCGGGGGCCCAGTGCCTTTCACCACTTCACAGGGAATATTGTGTCCAGTACTGGGCACCACAATTCAAGAGAGATATTGACAAGCTGGAATGTGTCCAGAGGAGAGCTACTAAAATGATCAAGGGTCTGGAGAACAAGCCCTATGAGGAGCGGCTTAAGGAGCTGGGCATGTTTAGCCTGAAGAAGAGAAGGCTGAGAGGAGATATGATAGCCATGTATAAATATGTGAGAGGAAGCCACAGGGAGGAGGGAGCAAGCTTGTTTTCTGCTTCCTTGGAGACTAGGACGTAATGGAACAATGGCTTCAAACTACAAGAAAGGAGAATCCATCTGAACATGAGGAAGAACTTCCTGACTGTGAGAGCCGTTCAGCAGTGGAACTCTCTGCCCCGGAGTGTGGTGGAGGCTCCTTCTTTGGAAGCTTTTAAACAGAGGCTGGATGGCCTTCTGTCAGGGGTGATTTGAATGCAATATTCCTGCTTCTTGGCAGAATGGGGTTGGACTGGATGGCCCAGGAGGTCTCTTCCAACTCTTTGATTCTATGATTCTAGGGCCTAGTCTTACCTTCAGGGTCCAGCAGCCGGGTGACCCCCAAGTCGTGCTCGGCCACCGAAAAGGCTTGCTCCAAATTCTCCACGTTGGTCTGGCGGTAGACCTTGTTCATGTCAATCAGCATCGGCCTGAATGAATGAAGAGAGGGGCAACAGCCATCTAAGAGGCAGCCATGCCCGGGGGGGGGGGGTGTGCACAGAGCAATGGGGTGGCCACTTGGCTTTTAGGGAGAGGCTCAAACCCGCATGCGCTTCCTTCCCTCCAGCCTCCCACTGGAATCATCAGAATTGCCTGGGCCTGGGGAGACCCCAATCCATCCAAGGTCTTCCTTTCCTTCCGTCTAGCTCAACTTGCCATTGCAACTCTCCAAAGGAGCTTTGGCTATAGAGGTGCATAAATACGGTTGCAAGAGCATGCATCCAATAGCTTCCCCAAACAATCCAACAAAGAAAACATAACTTTTTGGAAGTTGCATTCAGCAAGTGCTTAGCAAGGGAAAGGAAATAAGCCCCAATCCGTTTGAAAGTACAGCCCATTGAATTGTCAAGCTTCAGAGAGTTAGCAGCCATTTCCTTCCTGGCCGTTTTCAGTCAGCGCTCTCTTCACTCTCCGAGGTAAAAGTGGCAGTTAAAACCATTTGTCTCAGCAGCAAGCTAGAGACAGTAGCCAATCAGAATTCTGACTCCTGACATGCTCAGCCAATCAGCTGATCATTTTTAAGGCAGTTAAAACCATGGCAGTCAAAACCGTTTGTCTCAGCAGCAAGCTAGAGACAGTAACCAATCAGAATTCTGACTCTTGGCATGCTCAGCTAATCAGCTGCCGACCCGTGCCTTTCCAGTCAACCCATTTACATCATGGTGCCTTTTTACAAATCCCTAGATGGACAACCTGGGATAGGGCAGCTGAGACACAGGGTGCACCTATAGTGCAGCATTAATGCAAGTTGATACTGCTTTACCTGTCATGGCTGGGAACATGAGAGTTGCAGTTTTACAAGGTCTTTTGAAGGCATCCATAAGTTGTCCTTTCATTCCCAAGATAAGTGGCTCAGACAATTATTTTGGCTTTGTCTCCTCTTCAAGGCTGCGTCTCCCTCTTGAACCCCCCACCCCGCACCAAAAATGCCCCCATTACAATCAGGCAGCAAGGCCAGAGTGGCTGATGTAGGGGGAAAACAGTACTCTTAGGAGCCCTTATTATTTATGTATTTATTTCAAATATTTGTACTCGGGGGGGGGGGGTTATTCAGCCCTTGGGATGCACTGCAGCCCCATCTCAAGGGATTCCGATTATTCCCAACCCTAAATGTGGCTCAAGTAAGAGCAGAGCCCAGCCACCAATGTCCTACAAGAACAGTGGTTCTCAACCTGTGGGTCCTTGAGGATCTCCTAAAGTCACTATATAGATCTAGTTGGTCCTTGAGGGCCTCCTAAGGTCACTATATAAATCTAGATGGTCCCTGAGGATCTCCTAAGGTCACTATATAGATCTAGATGGTCCCTGAGGATCTCCTAAGGTCACTATATAGAGCTAGATGGTCCTTGGGGATCTCCTAGGGTCACTAGATAGATCTAGATGGTCCTTGAGAATCTCCTAAGGTCACTATATAGAGCTAGATGGTCCTTGGGGATCTCCTAAGGTCACTATATAGATCTAGATGGTCCTTGAGGATCTCCTAAGGTCACTATATAGATCTAGATGGTCCTTGAGGATCTCCTAAGGTCACTATATAGAGCTAGATGGTCCTTGAGGATCTCCTAAAGTCACTATATAGAGCTAGATGGTCCTTGAGGATCTCCTAGCATTCCTGATAGAGATCCAGAGCAGTGTTTCTCAACCTGGGGGTCGGGACCCCTGAGGGGGTCGTGAAGGGGTGTCAGAGGGGTCGCCAAAGACCATCAGAAAACACAGTATTTTCTGTTGGTCATGGGGGTTCTGTGTGGGAAGTTTGGCCCAATTCTATCATTGGTGAGGTTCAGAACACTCCTTGATTGTAGGTGAACTATAAATCCCAGCAACTACAACTCCCAAATGTCAAAGTCTATTTTCCCCAAACTCAAGGTCAATGCCCTCCAAACCCTTCCAGTATTTTCTGTTCATCATGGGAGTTCTCTGTGCCAACTTTGGTTCAATTCCATTGTTGGTGGGGTTCGGAATGCTCTTTGTTTACATATTAACTATAAATCCTAGCAACTACAACTCCCAAATCAATCCCCCCGCCAATCCCACCAGTATTCAAATTTCGGCATACCAGGTATTTGTGCCATATTTACTCCAGTGAATGAAAATACATCTTGCCGATCATTATTTACATGGCGATGTTAGGGTTATGGATGGGGGTCACCACAACATGAGGAAGTGTATTAAGGGGTCGCGGCATTAGGAAGGTTGAGAACCACTGATCTAGATGGTCCTTGAGGGCCTCCTAAAGTCACTATATAAATCTAGACCAGTGGAGAACCATTGCACTAGAAGAAAAGGCCCTCCTCTCCAATCCAAGACTTATTCCCTTCCAATGCTGAAAATTCACACTAAATGCATGGCCAACTTTGGCCCTCCAAATGTTTTGGATTTTAACTCCCACAATTCCTAACAGTCTACCGGCTGTTAGGAATGCTGAGAGTTGAAGTCCAAAACATCTGGAGGGCCAAAGTTGGCCCATGCCTGCACTAAATGGATAGGAGAGGAGGATAATTTCTACTTGTGTGGCCCACAAGAGAAGAAAAAGCAGAGATAAAGGCTTTTCAGCATTTGGCACAGCTTCCCCACACCCACCCCGAAACCCCCTTCCCAAAGCAGACCCAAATGCCCCCCAAGTGCAGCCCCAGACTGCAGACAAGGATAGACCAAAACATCCAGAGAAAGAGGGGAAGGGAGGTCCTACATTTCTCGGAGGCGCAGCGTAGAGTGGACGGAGTAGATGGCTCCGCTGACCCTTGGACCTTCACCCAGCGCCCGTCCGTCCGTCCCGTTGGCCTGCAGTTGCAGCCGGGGCCCTTGGGACCCCTCGTCGGGGATCTCCTCGCAGAGCATCACCACCCGCTCCATGGACCCTGAGGGCAGCATTCGGGGCCTCCTCTTGCCCCACGGACCCCCACTCATTGCGCCCCAGAGTGGGTCAAAGCAGGCCCAGAAAGGGGAGAAGACAGCTGTGTTCCCCTTTGTGCTCCTGGGTGGAGTGGCGCGTGGCAATGGAAGGCGCGGTGGATCCGATCCCCTCCCCACTGTGTTGGGAGCAGGGTGGCAGGGCTTGCGCCTGCTTGTTCCCTTCTATGGTGCCAGGGAGGGAGGCACCTTTCCAGGTGTGCCTTCCTTCCTTCACACCTGGAGGGCAGGCAAATGGAGAAAGGTGGCAACCAAGACAGGAGGAGGAGGAGCATTCTGTGTGATTGTGGTGCAGAATGGAGGCCAGGTGTGTGAAGCCGTGCCAGCAGACTCTTGGCTGCTTCTAAAGCAGGCATGGGCCAACCTCGGTCCTCCCTCCAGGTGTTTTGGACTCCAACTCCCACCATTCCTGACATCCTCAGCCCACTTTAGTGGCTTAAGGGGCTGAGGGGAAAAAGGAAAGGACCTGAAGCTGTCGGGAATGGTGGGAGTTGGAGTCCAAAACAGCACTTGACACCACTTGAACTGTCTTGGCTTCATACTATGGAATCCTGGGGTTGGTAGACTGAGAAGCGTTCAAATCGCAGGTTCCCAGCAACGACAGGTAAAGCAGTATCAGTGTGCATCAATGCTGCACTGTAGGTACAACCCATGTCCCTGCTGCCCTATCCCAGGTAGTCCACGTGGGGATTTGTAAAAAGGCACCATGATGTAAATGGGTTGACTGGAAAAGCATGTGTTGGCAGCTGATTGGCTGAGCATGCCAAGAGTCAGAATTCTGATTGGCTACTGTCTCTAGCTTGCTGCTGAGACAAATGGTTTTAACTGCCACTTTCACCTTGGAGAGTGAAGAGAGCGCTGCCAGGAAGGAAATGGCCGCTAACTCTCTGAAGCTTGACCATTCCTTTGCATTCTACTGTTTTAACTGCCACGGCTTTAACTGCCTTAGAAATGATCAGGCTTCAGAGAGTTGGCAGCTATTTCCTTCCTGGCTGTTTCCAGTCAGCGCTCTCTTCACTCTCTGAGGTGAAAACCTGAGAATGAAGAGAGCGCTGACTGGAAATAGCGAGGAAGGAAATAGCTGCCAACTCTCTGAAACCTGATCATTTCTAAGGCATGAAGCATATTCTAAAGAGTGTTTAAATGGACTGTTCATTCCCTCTGTTCTCTGTAAGAATTCAGTGAGACTGCTGTATAGATTGTTGCTCTGTTTGACCTTTTGAACTGAAGTAAAGTTACTGTTACTCGTTACGCAAATTTGAGTGACACATTATTATACTGCAGGGTATACTAATGCATCACTCAGCTTTACCACTATTCAGAAAGAGTGGTAAAGCTTCTATTTATTTATATCTACAACCTCCAAGTGACTGGACTGACTGACCTTGAAGGAGCTGGGGGTGGTGACGGCTGACAGGGAGCTCTGGCGTGGGCTGGTCCCTGAGGTCACAAAGAGTCGGAGACGACTGAACGAATGAACAACAACAACACAACCTCCAACTGTCCAGACAGAGGCCCAAAAGGTGAGGAAATGGTCTGAGGTCCAGATCCGCTCTTCCGGGGAAGTGCAATGGAGGGAACGGCCTTTGGATGCCACTCATGTCCTTGCGCCTCTTCCTCTCAGGGAACACCAGGCCACACCCAGTTCAAAGGCCAGTGACCAAAAGCAGCATGGTATCCCAAATGCGGAGAAAGCACCCCCCTTGCTTACTTGTGGCGGTGGATGATGGCGTTGAAGAGGCGCCCGTCCCGCCAGTTGGTGGTGAAGTTGTCGCAGCGCATGCCCTGGTAGCCCTCCACCATGCGCTGGGACCAGAGCAGCAGCTTCTCCTTGGCTGTCATGTCCTCCGACTGGCCGCTCACCTGGATGTCCGAGATCTAGGGCCGGAGGAGAAGGTGAGAGATAGTAAACATGGTGGTCCATGCCTTAGTTACATCCAGATTGGATTACTCCAATGCACTCTACATGGGGCTGCCTTTGAAACTGCCCGGAAACTGCAACTGGTGCAAAGATCGGCAGCCAGTTTGCTAACTGGAGCTAACAATAGGGAGTGGATGACGCCACTATTAAAACAGCTCCACTGGTTACCGATAAGTTTCCGGTCCCAATTCAAACCGCGGGTCATCGCTTACAATGCCCTAAATGGCTCAGGCCCTGCCAATCTTTGTGACCGCATCCCCCCCTGCCCCCATGTTCCTGCACGAGCATTAAGATTGTGGCGCACCGGGATTGTGGCGCAGCTGGCCGAGTGTCAGCTGCATTAAGATCACTCTGATCAAAAGGTCATGAGTTCAAAGCCAGCCCGGGTTGGAGTGGGTTTCCAACCAATTGTGTGTAGCCTGTTGTCGACCTTTGCAACCCGAAAGACAGTTGCATCTGTCAAGTAGGAAAATTAGGTACCACCTTAAAAAGTGGGGAGGCTAAATTAACTGATTTACGAGGCCATAAAGAAGACTCCAGCAAAGCATTCCAGCGGGGAAGCATGCGGGGAATGCGGAAGTGCTTCATCAGCGTCACAGATGGATGACAAAAGCGATAGCTCCCCTGGCGGCCAGAAGAAGTTAAAATAGCCTCTGTGTATGTCTGTATATGTTTGTATGTCAAAAATTGGCATGGAATGTTTGCCATATATGTGTACACTGTAATCCGCCCTGAGTCCCCTGCGGGGTGAGGAGAAGGGCCGAATATAAAAGCTGTAAATAAATAAATAAGATCTGCTGGGAAGGCCCTCCTCACGGTCCTGCTACAAATGATGGGGGGGGGGGGGAGAGCCTTCTTGGTGGTGGCCCCCCGGCTTTGGAAGGGAATTTAGGCAAGTCCCCAAATTGTCCTCCTTCTGGAAGGAATTGAAAACTTGGATGTTTGGACAAGCCTTTGAGAATGTCTAATGGTCTGCAACTAATACAGAGGCATGGTGACGTGTCAACTTTGGGCTGCCATCTCTTGTCAAAGACCCACAAAGTCCCCCACTCGAGGGTGGGTTCCTCCCTGGGGAATAAAAAAGGGAACCCCCACATGCCCCCCCCCACCCGTTCGTTCTCTGGGCGAAAAGAAGGGTGGGGCACTCCTTGCAGGGTGGGCCCCCAACCCCTCGCAGGCTGCAGGAGTGGCACTGCCACGGAATGGAAAAAGCGGGTGTCCCCAAGCGCCGGGTGATTCACCCTCCGGAAACCACAGGATCGTGTTCTGCTTTCTTCAGCCCAGAGAAAAGGGGGGCCCGGCCCACATTCCTGCCCCCCCTCCGCCCAACGCCGCCTGAGCCACACCCTGCAGCCACAGCAACGGGAGCAGGAGCAGCAACGCCTCAGGCCTTGGAAAAGTGTGTGTATGTGTGTGTGTTTGTGTGTATGGCTGCCTCTCCTGAATCCACTCCTAGCAAAAGGAGATTGCAAAGGGGGCTCCCTGGCCTCCCCCTCCTCAAACTCCCATTTGGGCCTCCCCCCCCAATGCAATGCAACCTCCTCCGTGCAATGACTATTATTTATGTATGTATGTATTTATTGATTGACAGCAGTTCTCTCCCACCTTTCTAAGCCCGAAGGTGAATCAGGGCAGTGTACAAACTGGCAACCATTAGATGCCACGGCAAACACACACACCAATCAAAGAGCCAGGCTTTCACTCTTTTCCAAAAGGTCAGGAGGGAGGGGGCCAATAATATCCCTAGGGAGGGAGTTCCACAGCCGAGGGGCCACCACGGAGAAGGCCCTGTCTCTTGTCCCCGCGACGCAGGCAGAATCAAGAGCAAGGCCTCCCCAGGTGATCTTAAATTCCTGGCGGGTTCGTAAGGGGAGATGCATTCGGATAGATAATCATAGAATCATAGAATCCAAGAGTTGGAAGAGACCTCATGGGCCATCCAGTCCAACCCCATTCTGCCAAGAAGCAGGAATATTGCATTCAAAGCACCCCTGACAGATGGCCATCCAGCCTCTGTTTAAAAGCTTCCAAAGAAGGAGCCTCCACCACACTCCGGGGCAGAGAGTTCCACTGCTGAACGGCTCTCACAGTCAGAAGGTTCTTCCTCATGTTCAGATGGAATCTCCTTTCTTGTAGTTTGAAGCCATTGTTCCGCGTCCTAGTCTCCAGGGAAGCAGAAAACAAGCTTGCTCCCTCCTCCCTGTGGCTTCCTCTCACATATTTATACATGGCTATCATATCTCCTCTCAGCCTTCTCTTCTTCAGGCTAAACATGCCCAGCGCCTTAAGCTGCTCCTCATAGGGCTTGTTCTCCAGACCCTTGATCATTTTAGTCGCCCTCCTCTGGACACATTCCAGCTTGTCAATATCTCTCTTGAATTGTGGTGCCCAGAATTGGACACAATATTCCAGGTGTGTCAATAACAATAACAATAACCTAGATCTAGACACTATGCTCCTCTTGATGCAGGCCAAAATCCCATTGGCTTTTTTGCCGCCACATCACATTGTTGGCTCATGTTTAACTTGTTGTCCACGAGGACTCCAAGATCTTTTTCACACGTACTGCTCTCGAGCCAGGCATTCCCCCATTCTGTATCTTTGCATTTCGTTTTTCCTGCCAAAGTGGAGTATCTTGCATTTGTCACTGTTGAACTTCATTTTGTTAGTTTTGGCCCATCTCTCTGGGCCAGAACTGTTTAGGGCTTTCACACTTTGAATAGTGCCCAGTAGCAAAGTGGCAGCCAGTGGAGCTGGCGCAACAGAGGAGTTGTATGCTCAGGAAAGGTGTGTGGGGAGGGACCCTCATCTACACCCACCCACAAAGGGTCCCAGCCTGATGGGAGTGACTAGCAGCCATTCTGCCCCCTGGCCTTGCTCCTTGAGCACCAGCCCCACTGCTGGGCATCAGGAAGGGCAGGTGGGGCAGTGGCTGCCAAGCAAGGAGAGCCCCCTCCCCTTCAGTGGGCCTGGCCCTGGGTCTCCCCTCCCCTACTCAACTCAGACCACCTACTGCAATGCAACCTGAGCCTTGCGACATGCACAAGGGAGGAGCTCCCAGTGGCCAGCTTCTGCTCAAAGGACATTTAATGCAATACCAAGTTTTCTAAACTTTGTGTTTTTTAGATGCACATTCAACTATCCCCTTGGGTTTGTTGCTGATACGATAAATAAATGGCTTAACTCACCTGGAAGTGGAGGATGATGGTCCATATCAAGCCCAGCGTCAGCTTGGGGTTCCCGTCTGCAATGTCATCGTTCCGGATATTGACCAGTTTCACCTGGGAAAAGAAGGGGAGCGGTCACTGGTGTCACTGGGCTCGAGCTCCCTCCAGAAGGAAGGAAGACCCTCCATCCCTCTCCCACCAAGGCTGCCCCCCCCTCTTTTCAACTCACCTGTCGGTGTTTCAGGTAGTCCAGGGCAATCTGCACATTCTGGAGTTTGTGGAAGCGCATGCGGCCCTTTTCGCGGGGCTGAATGGGAGGGGGGAGGGGGGAGAAAAGGGGGGTCAGTATCCCACTGGACTCTACGTCTGGACAAATCTTCCCACCCTGTGTCCAAAAAGCACCCCCCCTCCCTTTCCAGCCAAGCAGATGAGAATGGGCTCCCTCTTCTGATGAGATTCCCATCCGCCAGAGAACAATGGTGGGAAATGCCCCCCTCCTCAATGTTCCCCCATGGCTTCCTCTCAGCCCCAGCATGAAGCGCCTGGCACGGAGACAATGGCCCCCCGCCCTTCCCTCCCCCAACACGCAGGAACACACAACAGACACCGCTTCATCCCTTGACCACATTGCAGAACAGGATGGGGGGGGGGGCAGAATCACAGCATACATTGCTAAAGAGGGTGGGGCGGGGGGTGGGGTGTTAAGAAGAGCTGCCAAAGCAGGAGCCCCCCCCCCCCTCCTTCCCAAGCGCAGACCCCAAGGGCACCGGCCACAGGATGACCACAGCTGGGCCCAACGATCGCAATCCGAGGCTTTGGAAAGGGTCTGGTGAGCTGCCCGACCCACAGTAGGGTTAGGGGTCAAGAGCGCCCACCACTCCCTTTGGTACCCCCCACCCCCAAATGCCAGGCCAGGCTCTGGTCAAGCGGGCGCAGTGTCCAGGGCAGCAGAGGGGTGGCCGCAGAGCCATGCAGAGAGAAGGACGCAAGGACGGAAGGAAGGCAGGCAGGCCCACTCACTCACCAGCCGCAGGTTCCGGATCACGTCCCGCTCTCTGGGCTACAAGGCGGCCGCAGCGAAGAAGGAGGAGGAGGAGGCAGCGAGAGGGCAGAGCAGAGAGGGAAGCAGAGGTCAGAGGGCACAGACAGGAGAGGCCGGACACAGCGCCGGACAGACCGACAGACGGACAGGAGGGAGGACAGACGGTGAGCACAGGGAAGGAGAGCCCCTCATCCCCAGAGCGCAGGGGCTTCTTGTGTTAGAGCGTGTGCAAACGCAAAGGCAGGCAGGCGGGGGCAAAGGGGGTGCGGCTGACCAGGGGGACCCCAGAATCCTTGGGACACATTCCCCATCCCCCAAAGCCCCCTCCCCCTTGGTGCTTTGGACTCCCATCATTCTACGACGCAGCCCACACTGGCCGTCCGACATCCACTTGGGGGTCACCCGGGGGCTGGGTGTTGACCCCTCCCTCCCAGGCAGGCAGGTGGGGCAAAAGGGGTGCAGCTGACCAGGGGGACCCCCAACTCCTTGGGACACATTCCTCTCCCTTCAAAGCCCCCTCCCTCTTGGTGCTTTCAACTCCCATCATTCCACGACGCAGCCCGCACTGTCCGTCCGACATCCACTTGGGGGTCACCAGGGGGCTGGGTGTTGACCCCTCCCTCCCAGGCAGGCAGGTGGGGGCAAAGGGGGTGCGGCTGACCAGGGGGACCCCCAACTCCTTGGGACACATTCCCCTACCCCCAAAGCCCCCTCCCTCTCGGTGCTCTGGACTCCCATCATTCCATGGCGCGGCCCACTCCATCTCTAGAGCACTGCAGGGGTCACTGGCCGTCCAACATCCACTTGGGGGTCACCAGGGGGCTGCGTGTTACCTTCTTCCTTATTGCTCGCTTCTCTGTCCGTCCGACATCCACTTGGGGGTCACCAGGGGGCTGGGTGTTGACCCCTCCCTCCCAGGCAGGCAGGTGGGGGCAAAGGGGGTGCAGCTGACCAGGGGGACCCCAAATCCTTGGGACACATTCCCCTCCCCACAAAACCCCCTCCCTCTGGTCTCCAATCATTCCCTGGAACTGCCCACTCTGGCTCTAGAGCTCTGCAGCAGTCACTGGCCGTCCAACATCCACTTGTGGGTCACCAGGGAGCTTGGCCTCCAGGGGGACCCCCAAATCTTGGGATGCAACACCTTCTGCTCCTCCCACAGCCCCTAACCCCAAAGCTCCCTCCCTCTGGTCTCCAATCATTCCCTGGCATTGGCCACTCTGGCTCTAGAGCTCTGCCGGGGTCACTGGGTGTCCAACACCCACATGTGGGTCACCAGGGAGCTTGGCATCCAGAGGGGCCCCCAAATCCTTGGGATGCAACACCTTCCCCTCCTCTACTTCCACAGCCCCTCACCCCAAAGCCCCCTCCCTCTGGACTGTCATCATTGCATGGCACTGCCCATTCCGGCTCTAGGGCTCTGCAGGGGTCACTGGACGTCCAACATCCGCTTGGGGGTCACCACGGGGCTGGGTGTTGACCCCTCCCTCCCTCCCAGGCAGGCAGGTGGGGGCAAAGGGGGTGCCCCCAAATCCTTGGGATGCAACACCTTCTGCTCCTCCCACAGCCCCTCACCCCAAAGCCCCCTCCCTCTGGTCTCCAATCATTCCCTGGCACTGCCCACTCAGCTGACCAGGGGGACCCCAAATCCTTGGGACACATTCCCCTCCCCCAAAAGCCCCCTCCTTCTCGGTGCTCTGGACTCCCATCATTCCATGGCGCGGCCCACTCCATCTCTAGAGCACTGCAGGGGTCACTGGCCGTCCAACATCCACTTGGGGGTCACCAGGGGGCTGGGTGTTGACCCCTCCCTCCCGCCCTGGGACTCCTGAGGGGGGGTCTCTACCCACCTCTCCTCCGTCCCCTTCCCAACCCATGCCCAGTGTTATCTTGCGTGGCATGGAGGGTGCCCACCCCACAGAACCCAAGGGAAGCCCCTTCCCACCCATTCTAAGTAATGCCTCTCTAAGGACAGAATAGGGAGGGGAGGTCTCAATGGAGAATGCAAAGAGAGGGAAGGAAGGGTTCTCTGCCACCAATTGGGGGGGGGGGTCTCCTCCTTCTGCCCCCTCCCTGCCCTTCCCAGGTCTTGCAAGAAGGAGCGGGTTAGGGTTACAGTGAAGGTATCTTTCTCTAGGCCCCATCAGGGAGGAAGCGAGGGGGGGGGGCAGGATGTGTGAAATATTCAAGGGAGGGGCAGCGAGGCAGTGCGAGGTGAGGGGGGGTGAGGAGGGGCTGCAGCCCAGCCTTTCCCTTGAGACCCCTTGGCCTGCTTCCAGCCCCCCAATCGCCGCAGAGGAGGGTGTTCTCCACAGCCCCCTCCCATGAGCAAAAAGGGGGAAAGGAAGGGCATATTGGGGGTAGGGGGCTACTTACCAGGGTGTCCCCCGAAAGCACCTCCAGCAGAGAGATGAGGTTGTGCCCGTCGCGCAGGTCTTCGTAGAGGTCGTTGACATGGCGCTGGGCCTGGAAGGGGGGGCAAGAGGAGGGGGTCAAAACCAAGGAGGAGGGGCACAATCCCACCCAAAGCCCCCCCCTTTCACTGGGGGCCCCCAGCCTTGTGTGCCACCCTAATGGACTAGGTTCTGGAGTGCCATCTAGACGCACAAGAGGAGCCTTGAGCAGTGTAAAAGGTAGTCCAATCATATCCGACCCTGGGACTCTGATGCTCATGCCCATTCCTAAGCCGAAGAGCCAGCGTTGTCCATAGACACCTCCACTGGCAGGACTGCATGGAGCATCATTAGCTTCCCACTGGAGCAGTACCTATCGATCTACTCACATTTACATGTTTTTGAACGTTTAGGTTGTCAGGAGCTGGGGCTAACAACAGGAGCTCAACCCATCCCATGGATTCGAACACCCGACCTTCCGGTCAGCAAGTTCTGCAGCTCAGCGATTTAACCTGCTGCACTACTGTGGTCCCTTTGCAGCGTATTTGGATCTATTTTAAGGCTGGAAGCTGCCTCTCGTCCCAGTTTGGGTCCACCCAGGGGCCAAAGGGGACCCCCAAAGACCCCCCGCCAAATGATACCCTCCCTCTCCCAATGCAGCATTGAGGGCACAGAATAGAAAAGAGCAGTGAGGAAAAAAGAGGGGAGAGAAGGGGACCAAGGGGGCAGCCTGGAGCCCTCAGACCCCCGAGGCCTTGGCACACCTACCTCCGCTCGCCAGTGCTGTCCCAAGGAAGGGAGGAAGGAAGAAGGAAGACGGAAGGAGAAAGAGCAGGAAGAGAAAGAGACGGAGGCAGGTTAGGAAGAGACGTCCGAAGCCCCTCTTTCCTCCCCCACAATGCATCCCATCACAGGAAGGGAGACCCCCCCCCCAGCCCCAAGGGAAAGGGAGGGAAAGGTGGAAGGAAATGTAAACAAAGATAAGACCCCCCCCCCAAAAAAACCCTTTTGAAGTCAGTTAATTGGATAAGAATCAGCACTTTGGCTACCCAATTACCCCAACAATGGTTATGGGCCCAGTATGCTTCCAGAAGGAAAGGAGGGAGGGAGGGAAGATGGAAGAGACATGGGGAAGGGTCTCCTTCCCTTTCGACCAAGCTTCATGGTTCTGGTAGTGAGACCCCCAAACAGGAAAGGCCCTCCCAATTACCCCAACAATGGTTATGGGACCAGCATGCTTCAGGAAGGAGGAAGGAAGGAAGGAAGAGAGACATGGGGAGGGGTCTCCTTCCCTTTCAGCCAAGCCCATGGTTCTAGTTGTGAGACCCCCAACCAGGAAAAGCCCTCCCAATTACCCCAACAATGGTTATGGGCCCAGCATGCTTCAGGCAGGCAGGCAGGAAGGAAGAAAGGAAGAAGGAGAAGAGGCATGGGGAGGGGTCTCCTTTCCTTTCAGCCAAGCCCCATGTTTCTGGCAGTGAGACCCCCAACCAGGAAAGGCCCTCCCAATTACTCTAAGAATGATTATGGGCCCAGCATGCTTCAGGAAGGAAGGAAGGAAGGAAGGAAGGAAGGAAGGAAGGAAGGAAGGAAGGAAGGAAGGAGGAGAGACATGGGGAGGGGTCTCCTTCCCTTTTGTCCAAGCCCATGGTTCTGGCAGGATACCCCCAACCAGGAAAGGCCCAATTACTCAAACCATGGTTATGGGTCCAGCATGCTTCCAGAAGGAAGGGAGGGAAGGAAGGAAGAAGGAAGTGACATGGGGAGGGGTCTCCTTCCCTTTCGGCCAAGCCTCATGGTTCTGCCAGTGAGACCCCCAACCAGGAAAGACCCTCCCAATTACCCCAACAATGGTTATGGCCCCAGCATGCTTCCAGAAGGAAGGAAGGAAGAGGGGGAGACATGGGGAGGGGTCTCTTTCCCTTTCAGCCTAGCTCATGGTTTTGGCAGTGAGACCCCCAAACCCAAAAAGGCCCTCCCAACAATGGTTATGGGCCCACATGCTTCTAGAAGGAAAGAAAGAAGCAAGGAAGAGACATGGGGAGGGGTCTCTTTCCCTTTCAGCCTAGCCTCATGGTTCCGGTAGTGAGACCCCCACCCAGGAAAGCCCCCTCCCCAATTACCCTAAAAATGATTATGGGCCCAGCATGATTCCAGAAGGAAGGAAGGAAGGAAGGAAGGAAGGAAGGAAGGAAGGAAGGAAGGAAGGAAGGAAGGAAGGAAGGAAGGAAGGGGGAAAGACATGGGGAGGGGTCTTCTTCCCTTTCAGCCAAGCCCATGGTTCCGGCAGGGAGACCACCAACCAGGAAAGGCCCAATTACTCAAACCATGATTGTGGGTCCAGCATGCTTCCAAAAGGGAGGGAGGGAGTGAGGGAGGGAGGTAAGAAGGAAGTGACATGGGGAGGGGTCTCCTTCCCTTTTGCCCAAGCCCATGGTTCTGGCAGTGAGACCCCCAACCAGGAAAGGCCCAATTACCCCAACAATGGTTATGGGCCCAGCATGCTTCAGGAAGGAAGAGGAAGAGACATAGGGAGAGGTCTCCTTCCCTTTCGGCCAAATCCCATGTTTCTGGTTGCGAGACCCCCAACCAGGAAATCTCCTCTCAATTACCCCAGCAATGGTTATGGGCCCAGCATGCTTCCAGAAGGAAGGGAGGAATGAAGGAAGAGGGGGAGACATGGGGAGAGGTCTCCTTCCCTTTCGGCCAAGCCTCATGGTTCTGCCAGTGAGACCCCCAACCAGAAAAGACCCTCCCAATTACCCCAACAATGGTTATGGGCCCTGCATGCTTCCAGAAGGACGGAAGGAAGAGGGCTAGACATGGGGAGGGGTCTCCTTCCCTTTTGGCCAAGCCTATGGTTCTGAGAGTGAGACCCCCAAGCAGGAAGGACCCTCCCAATTACCCTAAAAATGGTTATGGGCCCAGCATGCTTCAAGAAGGAAGCAAGGAAGAGGGAGAGACATGGGGAGGGGTCTCTTTCCCTTTCAGCCTAGCTCATGGTTTTGGCAGTGAGACCCCCAAACCCAAAAAGGCCCTCCCAACAATGGTTATGGGCCCACATGCTTCTAGAAGGAAAGAAAGAAGCAAGGAAGAGACATGGGGAGGGGTCTCTTTCCCTTTCAGCCTAGCCTCATGGTTCCGGTAGTGAGACCCCCACCCAGGAAAGCCCCCTCCCCAATTACCCTAAAAATGATTATGGGCCCAGCATGATTCCAGAAGGAAGGAAGGAAGGAAGGAAGGAAGGAAGGAAGGAAGGAAGGAGAGACATGGGGAGGGGTCTCCTTCCCTTTCAGCCAAGCAGTGAGACCCCCAACCAGGAAAGGCCCTCCCAATCACCCTAACAATGGTTATGGGCCCAGCATTCAAGGGTTAGACAGCAAGGTTGTGGGCTCACCTTGAGCAGGTGCTTGTTGACCCATTTCGTGAAGGTTTTCTTCTGGACCCGGTCGCGTTCGTCTGCAAGAGAGGAGGAGAGGTAAGTGAGGTGGGGGTTTTTGGGGGGGAGAGGTAGCAAAAGAAAGGGGGTCTCCCCAAAACATAGAGAAGGGGAAACAGGGGCAGCCGCAGCAGCTGCAACCACAACCACATCAGTGACTCATAGGAGGGAGGAAAGGAAGGAGAGAGGAAGGAAATGGTGCCACCACCGCTCTGACTCAGGCCTCCTCCTCCTCCAAACCCCACTGTTGTGGGGGGAGGGGGGGTTTCCATAGGCCCCTAAGGGCCACACCCTGACAACCAACACACACATTGATTGAAGGAGGGGAAAGGGATAGAAAGCCCCTTCCCTGCATTGGAGTGTTGTGGGATTCCCAGGCTGGAGGGTTGTGTCCAAGCAGCATTTTCTCCTGACGTTTTGCCACAGCCTCAGGCCCCTTCCTTTAAGCGGCTGAGGGGGAAAAGGAAAGGGCCTGAGGCTGTGGCAAAACGTCAGGAGAAAATGCTGCTAGGACACAACCCTCCAGCCCAGGAATCACACCACCCCCCAGTGACTAAGTCCCTGAAAGCCCTTGACAATGCGCTTCCCTGCCCCATTGCGCCACAGCCATGCCCTGGGGGCCCGTCTGCCGCCTGGGCTTGATCTAATCCCGGCCCAAAGCCCTTCCAGCCGCACAGAGCGGGCCATCAACCTCAGGGAAGGGAGTGCCTCCGCCAGACAGAGAGGAAGAAAGAGGCCCCCCAGGCACCAGGCGCGGCCCATGGGGCAGAGCATAGAAAGACCCACAGGCTGGAATGTGGGCAGCAACAAGGAGGGTTTGCATGGCAAGGAAAACAACACGGGTGCAAAGGCACACCTTGCAAAGGCTCCTATTGTGCAAATACGGGTGGGGGGGGGCAACTTGGGGGAGATCCACCAAAAAGGGGGGTTCAAGGGCATGTCAAGATAGAGCAGGAAGTGTAGTCAAGCGAAGGGCAACGAGGGCATGCGTCTCTCCAAGCCCATAAGAAAGAAAAACATTGGGAAACTTTGAAGTTTCGTGAGAGTCCGTTTTTTCCATTTCTAAAGAAACTTCAAAGTTTCCCAACAGCATGGATTCACTTTAAATCTGGTTTCTGCCTCCTGCAGAATTCTGGGGATTGTAGTTTTACAGAGGGGGCATTAAACCGCTCAGCCAAGCAGGTTCAAGGCCTGACTAAACTACAAAGCCCAGAATTCTGCAGGAGGCAGCGACCGGATTGAAAGGGGATCCATGCTCTGCTGCAAAGGTCTACATTCGAAGACTTGCAACCTCATCACACCTGAGCTTTGTAGTTTAGTGAGGCCCTGAACCTGCTTGGCTGTGGAGTTTGAACTCCCCCACCCTAAGACTACAAAGCCCAGAATTCTGCACGAGGCAGGAACCAGATTGAAAGGGGATCCATGCTCTGGTGTGATGAGGCTGCAAAGGTCTACATTCGAAGACTTGCAACCTCATCACACCTGAGCTTTGTAGTTTAGTGAGGCCCTGAACCTGCTTGGCTGTGGAGTTTGAACTCCCCCACCCTAAGACTACAAAGCCCAGAATTCTGCACGAGGCAGGAACCAGATTGAAAGGGGATCCATGCTCTGGTGTGATGAGGCTGCAAAGGTCTACATTCGAAGACTTGCAACCTCATCACACCTGAGCTTTGTAGTTTAGTGAGGTCCTGAACCTGCTTGGCTGTGCAGTTTAAAGGCCCTCACCCTAAGACTACAAGGCCCAGAATTCTGCATGAGGCAGGAACCAGATTGAAAGGGGATCCATGCTCTGGTGTGATGAGGCTGCAAAGGTCTACATTCGAAGACTTGCAACCTCATCACACCTGAGCTTTGTAGTTTAGTGAGGCCCTGAACCTGCTTGGCTGTGGAGTTTGAACTCCCCCACCCTAAGACTACAAAGCCCAGAATTCTGCACGAGGCAGGAACCAGATTGAAAGGGGATCCATGCTCTGGTGTGATGAGGCTGCAAAGGTCTACATTCGAAGACTTGCAACCTCATCACACCTGAGCTTTGTAGTTTAGTGAGGCCCTGAACCTGCTTGGCTGTGGAGTTTGAACTCCCCCACCCTAAGACTACAAAGCCCAGAATTCTGCACGAGGCAGGAACCAGATTGAAAGGGGATCCATGCTCTGGTGTGATGAGGCTGCAAAGGTCTACATTCGAAGACTTGCAACCTCATCACACCTGAGCTTTGTAGTTTAGTGAGGCCCTGAACCTGCTTGGCTGTGGAGTTTGAACTCCCCCACCCTAAGACTACAAAGCCCAGAATTCTGCACGAGGCAGAAACCAGATTGAAAGGGGATCCATGCTCTGGTGTGATGAGGCTGCAAAGGTCTACATTCGAAGACTTGCAACCTCATCACACCTGAGCTTTGTAGTTTAGTGAGGCCCTGAACCTGCTTGGCTGTGGAGTTTGAACTCCCCCACCCTAAGACTACAAAGCCCAGAATTCTGCACGAGGCAGGAACCAGATTGAAAGGGGATCCATGCTCTGGTGTGATGAGGCTGCAAAGGTCTACATTCGAAGACTTGCAACCTCATCACACCTGAGCTTTGTAGTTTAGTGAGGCCCTGAACCTGCTTGGCTGTGGAGTTTAAAGGCCCTCACCCTAAGACTACAAGGCCCAGAATTCTGCACGAGGCAGAAACCGGATTGAAAGGGGATCCATGCTCTGGTGTGATGAAGTCCTGGAGAAAGGCACGTAAAGTAGGAGCAGAACTGCTTGTTTCCGCTTCCTTCCCATGATTCTTCCTCCCTAGATAGGAATGTAATGTTACGACCCATATTGACACTATATATATATTTATTTGTATTGTCGAAGCATGTGGACAATTTCAACAGAAAGGAAGAAACCATGAAAATGAACAAAATCTGGCTACCAGTATTAAAAAACTCTAAAATTACAACAGCAAAACAGGGAAACAACCAGGCACATCAAATCACCTCTCAACAAAACATTCCCCCAGGCACTTCCAAGCCATTAAATGCTAATCAAGGTGGTCAGTTGAAACATTCACACCTAGCTCCAGCAGACAAGAGTCCTTTGTCCCACCCTGGTCATTCCACAGATATATAAACCCATTGTCCTATTTCCAACAGACCTCACTACCTCTGAGGATGCTTGCCATAGATGCAGGCGAGGGAGGAGGAAGGAAAGAGGAAGAGAAGGAAGGAGGAGAGAAGGAAAGAAAAAGGGAAGGGAGGAAAGACGCAGCAAAGGAAGAAGAGAAAGAAGGAGAGAAAGGGAGGGAAGGAAAGAAATAAAGAGAAGGATGGGAGCAAAAAGCTAAGGAAGGAAGTAAACAGGTAGAGAAGGAAGAAAGGAAAGAAGAAAAGAAAATGAAGGAAGGAGAGAAAGAGGGAGAGAAGGTTGGCCACAGCAACGCGTGGCGGGTCAAGCTAGTATATATATATAAATGCTCTGTGCATAATGAGTACCTTAAAAACAAAAGAACCAATTAACGAAATCACACCAAATTTGGCAACAAAACGTTGCACAACACAAGGAGCGACCATCACTTAAAAAAAATATGATTTAGTCATTTGGGAATTATAGTTGCAAGGATTTATAGTTTACCTACAATCAAAGAGCATTCTGAACTCCACCAACGATGGAATTGAACCAAACTTGGCACACAGAACTCCCATGACCAACAGAAAATACTGGAAGGGTTTGGTGGGCATTGACCTTGAGTTTGGGAGTTGTAGTTCACCTACATCCAGAGAGCACTGTGGACTCAAACAGTGATGGATCTGGACCAAACTTGGCACAAGCACTCAATACACCCAAATATGAACACAGATGGAGTTTGGGGAAAATAGACCTTGACATTTAGGAGTTGTAGTCACTGGGATTTATAGTTCACCTACAATCAAAGAGCATTCTGAACCCCACGAACGACAGAATTGGGGCAAACTTCCCACACAGAACCCTCATGACCAACAGAAAATACTTAAGGCCATCCAGTCCAACTCTCTTCACCAGGGAAAGAAAATGTAATCAGAGCCCTCCTGACAAAGACCCATCCAGCCATAGATATAGATTGATATATATGATTCACACACACAGAGATATAGTATCCTAGATTTGAAAGGGACCCCTAAAGAAGGACAGTGATATGTTGCATGTTCCAGAGTAGGCAAACCAGACACTCTCCACATCAACACTGACAAAGAAACAGCAAGAAATACTGTTTACCCACAAGCAGAAAGAAATTACATATATTAGAAACCAACGCTTTCCCATTACTTTATTTCCAGATCACCAGACTGGACCACAGCAATGCGTGGCAGGGGACAGCTAGTTATAATATATATATGTACATACAATATATCAGTGGTTCTCAACCTTCCTGATGCTGCGACCCCTTAAAACAGTTCCTTCTGTTGTGATGACCACCAACCATAACATTATTTTCATTCCTACTTTAGAACTGTAATTTTGCTACTGTGATGAATCGTTCACTGGACCAAATTTGGCACAAATACCCAATACACCCAAATTTGAATACTGGGGGGGGGGGGGGGGGGGGTTGTTTTGTCATTTGGGAGTTGTAGTTGCTGGGATTTATAGTACACCTACAACCAGAGAGCATTCTGAACTCCACCAATAATGAAATTGAACCAAATGAACCAAACTTGGCACAAAGAATTCCCATAACCAACAGAAATTACTGGAAGGGTAACTGAAAATAAGACACATGAAAGCATGCCCAACAGATGGCCATCTGTCGTCTGGATTGTAGAATCCTAGAGTTGGAAGGGGACCCCAAAGGTCATCTAGCTCAACCCCATTCTGCCAAAAAATAAGACACCATGAAAGCACGCCCAACAGATGGCCATCTGTTGTCTGGATCGTAGAATCCTAGAGTTGAAAGGGTACCCCAAAGGCCATCTAGTCCAACCACATTCTGCCAGAAAATAAGACACCATGAAAGCATGCCCAACAAATGGCCATCTGACATCTGGATCATAAAATTATAGAGTTGGAAGGGGAA